AAGAAGGCATGTGTCAGTGGAGTGGGATGTTCTAAAGCCAGATTGAAATTCATAGATTAGTTTCTTTTCCGCGAGATACTTTTCGACCTGTTCATATACTATTTTTTCCATGACTTTCGAGATGGAGGTAAGTATAGAAACAGGGCGGTAGTTGCCTGGGTCCAATTTGCTGCCCTTTTTGTGCAGGGGGGTTACTCTTGCAATTTTGAAGTCTTTGGGTACTTTCCCTGTTTTATGGAGAGGTTAATTATGTGAGCTATGACTGGTGAGATGGCGGTTGCTGTGGCTCTGAGGAATTTGGAGAATTCAAAAAGCCCTGAGTGGGAGGGTAATTTATTTACAAGAGTTGTGGCTATGTTTGTGAAAAAAATGTTCAAGTACTTGGCCACATCCAGTTTGTCTGTGATGAGCCTGTTATCTGTCTTTATGTTTAAGTTCGAAAATCTCGTTTTGAGTTTTTTACTGCAGCCAAGCTGGTTATTGAGTAATTTCCAAAGTTCACGGGGTTTATTTTTGTTTTCCTCAGTTTTGACATTGATGAAATTCTTTTTGGCAGTTTTGATCATGGAGCTTACGTCATTTCTTAGTCTGTTTCTTTCAATTTTGAGTTCAGTCACGTGGGCCTGGAGTTCACTGCTCGTGCTTTTGGAAAGCATTGACTGACTTTTATGAAACTCAGAGCATTTTTTGTCTCTGGTTTTCATGGCGGTCAGTATGCCGGAGTGCATCCACGGCTCAGCGCGATTTTTTTTAAAATTTTTTAATTTTTAAATTTTTTTTTTTACCCACGGTTGTTCTTAGGGGGGCCAAATCATTGAGTATTGCAGAGAATTTGTTTTTGAAACCAAGCCATGTTTCTTCAACTTGTGTACCACTGAGCTCATCTGACCAGTCCAGGCTCTCCAGTGCTAGGTTAAAGGCCTCGCTAGAGTAGTTTTTGAGGTCTCTAGATATGACTGTTTTGTGACAGCCGGCCCTTTGTTTTAGCTTTTTGCGGGTACAGAATATCATATAATGATCACTTAAACTGCATGCTATAACCCCTTTACTGGAGATCATGGACTTGTCAGAGGTCAGAATGAGATCAATGGTAGTTTGTGTTGTTTCACATACCCGGGTGGGTTGGGTGATTAGCTGGCTGAAGCCGTGCAGATCACAAATCCTACTGAAGGACTTGAAGACGGACGTGTCTACTTTGGTGACTAAAGTAATGAGTAATGACTAAGATTACTGATTCTTGACTTACCTGAAATGTTATTTTTAGTAAATGGATACATGGCTGATTTGCATTTGAACCGTAGTATGAGATGTTTTGGGTCTGGGAGCCCACAAGATATTTTATTCCCATCCCAGTCTGAGTCTCATGAGAGTAAATCCAGTTATTACAATTGCACTGGGTCAAAGCTGCACAACTACCATGTTTCTGTAAGAATGTGGCTTTATCTTTTGTGTAGCTGGTGCAACCTGAGCTGCCCCGGATGTAGTTTGCCAACAAAGTACCACACCCTAACACTTCTGGAGCTGGACAGGACTGTAGCTAACTGTAAAAATAACAGGTCTTAACAGTATGTTCGTCCATTTCCCAATACTGTAATGTTAAGCGTATATGGTAAGCTATGGCCAACTATTTATTATTCTCTTTTTTACATTGCATCGGCCTCAGTCACTCGGGCATGTGCAGACATTTTATGTATTGGCTTTTACAGTAATAAAACCATTACAACGAGTCTCAGTGCCAATCCAGTTTTTTTTATTACAATTTCACTGATATGGGATTTTGTTGCATTATAAATATATCACTTGAGCTCTTTGAAGACTTGCATGTTTAGCCCTTTAATAACTCTTCTGGCTCCCTTCAAATTCAAACTCTCGAATAAAGCTTGTTATTCCGAGTTCGAGCTTAAGGACATTTCTAGTCTGCGGGCGGTAAAATGTTTCCACAGGACATTGGTTTCCATTTCAGAACACTTTAGCCCTCTCTAAGGTATAAAAATACTTGAGTGATGATTGCTTCTCCTTTTCTAGAGTAGAGGACAATGGGCCGGCATTATGTAAGCTGCAAGGATTTAGTTTCCTCTTCAATCCCTCTTCACCCGAAAGACAGGTGCTGTCTATGCTGCAACACAGCCGCTGCTTTTCTGGAGCCTCCAATGGGACAAAGAGGGAGATAAAGATGGGTAGACTGAGTGCAGCTGTTAGCTCTGTTAGACTTCATGTTTTCCAGTGACTGTGTGCACATAACTTAGCACAGCCATGCTGAAGGGCTAGACCCTGCCAAACCCTGAGTTAGTGAGGCAGCGTAGGGAGGTAGACGTCTGAAGAGGAGGTGGATGGGTGCCTTATAACTACTGAGCTATTTCAGGCTAAAACACTCAGAGGCACAGCCATCAACAAAATATACACACTGCCAAGTCCCCATAGAGATCCACAAACAGGCTAGCTATCGGTTGTATACAGTCACTCTTTGTTATACCAAGCTGCACTGAGCAGTGTTCTGGTGAGTGTCAATTCAAGTTTTGGAAGTTTGAAATTAGGCTGCAAATATTTTGTTTGTAATGGTCTGCTGTTATTATGGAATCCGTTCTCTTGAACATAAACACTTTGTCCTGGGTCTCTGGTGTGTTTTTAGGCCTAGCAGGCTAGTTTAAGACTTGACGGGAGAGAGGAATAACAGGAAGCCGGTGGGAGAGTTTCCGAGTTGTGTTAACACTTTATATAAAAGCTAGAAAAACTGAAGGTGGGATTTAATCATTTTAAACTGCTGTTGAATGGTATCTTTATCATATTTTTTCTCAGAACAAACATGTTTAGACATTTGCAGGAGATAGTTTGCATGTAGCACATATTACTTAATACCACCAGATTTAACCACAGAAATGATGACAATAAATGAAATTCTGGGTCAATAGCCTAATTGAAAGTGTCAAAAGGACAAAAGGACAATATTTGTCAATCGCCCTTGCAAGCATGAAGTCACAGCTCTTAAAATGGTGGACCGAAGTGGATAATTATATTATTAGCACAATGTTGGGATTGAGGAAAGCCCCAGATTTTGAAGTGGACTTCAACTTTAGCTGCGTGTGGCTCTGACTGCGTTTCTTTTCCCTGCAAGACATGCATGTGACTTCACAGTGATCCCTCACTCTGGGGACAAACAGTTATAACTCACACACACACACACTCAGGTGCCTCCTGATGTTGGGTGTTTCTTTAGCCCAAAGGCTCATATAAGCTGATGTGGAATGCGACGCTTGGTTATTTGGCGAATGCGTAAGCAACTTGTTTAGATCACAGGACTTTTCTTTGTTTGCTGAAAAACACAATTAATCTGGCAGCTTGAATGACTTTAGGTGGGATTAACTGTGTAATAGTCTTGATTACTCCATAACATGAAGGTGTTTTTTTCATTGCCAAATACTCTAAGAACCTTTGGCGTGCAAGGGTGTACATGAAGTCAAATGTACCCCAAAACTAAAATATTTTAATAGTACAAGCAGAACGTCCAGGTGACTTCTGTGTGGATATTCCAGCATTCACAATGATATCAAAAGACATACCTAACTATCATCTGGTGCAAATGTATAAACATACTGTTCTAAAGCCGAGTTTTATTTATAAATTAGATAATGCCATTCATCGTTTTGCTTTGCTTATTTCAGAATACAGATGACTTATTGTATATTACACATGCTACAAGCTTCCTGATAAAGTTGCAATGCCCTTGATGAGAAGCCAAGTTGCTCAATGTTCTATAGAAAGCCACTTCATAATGACTCGCTCATTTTGCTGTGTTTATTATAAGGAATGAGAGATGTCATGATGTGCTTGCATGTGGTTGTAAACCAAGCTTTTGTGGCACTCCTTTACTATCTGGTCACCTATTGTCTCTGTCATCGGGCAATTCCTGACAAAGATGTCTTTCAGATGGAAATATAGTTACCCCAGCTGGACGTGTGCAGATCTTTACTCTGAATTGCACCTATTGTCTCTGTGTCACGACTTTATTTATGTCATTGTTGCAGATTGAGAAAGATATTGTAATAGACCTTTCCAGAGTAGATCAAGTGTTTCCACAGGGGAAACAATGGGCCTTCTCCATTTCCCAGTTTCTACATCCTCTATTCATGTCCCCGCCTTCTCTTCACGCATCTTAGTCCCTCCCACGGAGGCTATGAGCAAGGGAGGACGATGAAGAGGCATAAGGAGAGATGAGTCGAAGCAAAAGGCATTTACCAAAATAAGACCTTTTGTCCTCAGAGATGTTATTTTAAGTCAACGTTGGTTAACAATGACGTGGGGCACAGCTGCATTAACTGTCCATTTTTCTTCTGCAGTATTTTATTAAAAAAAAGTCCAATTTTATAGAAGAAAATGACCCAAATTCTTTCTTGCTTTACTACAGTAAACTTTGACCTGACAATATTTTTGGTCTCAAACCATAGTTTGAGGTGTTCTTCAGTAATGCATGTTCATTTTGTAAATAACTGCACCATTAGAGTACCATAGATGATAGAGCAGTGTAAGATTTACGGCATTGCTCGGGATTGAGAGGTCACTATAATTGTATTTTATTGTTTTTGTTGTGTCTCTGTTTTCGTCTAGGAACTTTAACTCTTTCATAGTGTGTTTTAGTCCATTAAAGTGAATTGTAACAATTAAAAGTTCACTTATGGTTCCATATAACAAAGATAGAGATGGCGCGATATTTCAAGATAGAAAGCAGAAAAAGGTTCTGTGATGTGCCAATTTTTTAAAACTTGCATATTTAGTGAATACCTGTGTGTGTGTGTGTGTGTGTGTGTGTGTGTGTGTGTGTGTGTGTGTGTGTGTGTGTGTGTGTGTGTGTGTGTGTGTGTGTGTGTGTGTGTGTGTGTGTGTGTGTGTGTGTGTGTGTGTGTGTGTGTGTGTGTGTGTGTGTGTGTGTGTGTGTGTGTGTGTGTGTGTGTGTGTGTGTGTGTGTGTGTGTGTGTGTGTGTGTGTGTGTGTGTGTGTGTGTGTGTGTGTGTGTGTGTGTGTGTGTGTGCAGCAGCCTCTGACTCAGTGTTGAATGGGTCCTGGAGTCACATGGCTACTTGTCAGCAGGCTAGAGGAGGAAACATAATCCTGAGGAGGAAGGCTGCTGCTATCAGTGCATGCATGTCGGTCTGAGAGAGCACTCCAGAAGCTGGAGCGCAATCCTCATCTCTAACTCTTCTTTCTTTTGTCTCCCTATCTCTCCTTTCTCCCGTGGATTGTCTGTTCCCTGCACTCTGACCAGCCCCGGGTCTCACTTCACAGAGTTCAGATTTGCACTACCATGTCTACGGTGGCTTCTCTGCTGTGAGCACACAAAGGTATGGTACAAATATGGATATATTTTGTATTCTACCATTTGTTATGTTTCAAAACATTTTTGTTAGAACGTCTCTTCACACTGCTTTTTTCTTATTTGTCTTATTTATTGATTTGTTGTTTTCAGTTAGATAACAATAACCGTTGTTTGTTAGGTCTAATCGAAGCTAACAAGATATTTCATGCGAGTGTCTCAGGCTTGAACAACCATAGCACACAACTCTAAACAAACCCTATTTAGTTCAACAGGTCACACAACACAGACCTTAAACAAGCCACTTGAGTTTCAGTAGGAGAAAAGCGCTTGTATAAATCCTAACTTAGAGCCTTTAAAGGACATGATTATTGTAAAGCGATGGCCCTTTAAATACTTTGCTCCAATCAGAGTTCACCATTCATAGCTACGAACAAAAGTGTTTTTTCTTTTGGTTTTCTTAAAACCCTCTCCATTTATCAACTGCATGTTTTTCTTCAACAGAACTTGCATGCGTCTTAAACATGTGATCATGCTTCTGATTATGTCAATTCATCGAAGTGTCCGGAATGTTAAAGCATGTTATTGTGTTAGTTCCTGACCTTAATCTTTTATCTATCTTCATGTCACTTGGTGCTATCACACACAATCAGTATTTTTCAAGAAAATAACTTCCTTAAACATGCATTGTCTGTGAAAAGGGAACAAAGATCACAAAGTGTTCTTGTTAGCGCAGTTCTTAGTGAAACCTTAAACCGGTCCTTTGCTCCCTGTCTCTGTCCTGCTGCTATAAGTACAGGCCTCTGTTGGTTGATGTTTGGACACTGTTATCAAGCATCTATTTCTGGACAGGCCTTTTTATTGCCAGTTTGTGTATTTTATAAAACTGTTCTTTAATTATGCCTCTCTTGATAGAGTTTGTAGATGAGCATGCAGTCTGTGGTCGTCACTCGCGTGCCAAGCTTCCCGATTGAAGCTGGGCCCGGCCGGGTGTTCTGGCGGATCACTGGGTTAAGACGAATGTTGGCTTGTGACGTGAGTTCGAGTCTGGCTCGTAACCTCTGTCCCGCCGTCTGACTGTCTCACTCCTTTCCCTTTATGTCATTATAAGGAGGAGAAGAATGTTTAACCCTTTGTCCCTCCTCACCTCAAAGGTCACATGACAGTACAGTTAAAGATGTTACAGAACAAAATTGGCAGATCTTCAATATGCTTTTAGATAGTCAGTGTTCTGAATATATCATTGCTCCTTTCCTTTCTCAAAGAAATGTCTTGGAGAGTATAACAAAGAAAAGCCCTCACATTTTGAAATAAATCCATTGAGTTTAGAGTACCAGAAAAGCATCTCAAAATGTCAAATATCATATATTTCGAATATGAGGATGTCGGGGAAATTCAAAATGTCTGTGGTGGGCAGGGCATTTCTATCAATAACGGAAATGTACAACATACCAAAGTGACTTTGTTAGTATATTTGCACTCTGTGGGAGGGATGAGTCACCACCAAGTGCATATCATCGATTTAAAATACTGACCACAAAAAAACAGTCATGCGCCTGACTGATCACCTTCACTTTGAAGTTAAGAGGCAGGAAATGTTAGTTCCTCAGAACCATTGCAATGTTATTTTAGAAACCATAAATAGCCGGTTACTCGTTATCAGCTGCCAAGTTGGAAATGTGAGGAGGACTTTTTCGTCTAGTCTCTAAAGGGCATCCTTTAAAATTGTTTTTAAAAAAATCATAACTGATCATCTAAATTTGCAACATTTAAGACTTACATGCATTTTCAAATGGTAAAGAGGCAGCTGTATTTCGGTTTCTACTCCCTGTAGATGACAGTTTCTTTGGTCAAAGGTAGCATCTTCACACATGTGGTCTGATTGTAAATGCTGCTCTTTGTGGGAGGGACAGATGGAGATGACAGTGACAGCTTGTAACGGTGTCAAGTCAAGTTAACCTATTATGTCGCCTAGTAGACATCGGACACTTTGTTTTAACCTAGTTATCTTTGATCCAGTCCAACCATACAAATGGGTTTTCAGTTTCTAAAGGCAGACATTATTACCTCTACAATTATCCAAAATTGCCCGATTTCTATTTATTTGATAGGTTTACAGCTCCTCCTTACCTTCTTCCTGTTTTCATTCTTACTTCCTCCCAGAAGGATAGTTTTCCAGAAGCCCTACATGCACATATTTACTGTGACTAAATCTAGCATGGAAAAGTGGGGGGAAAAAAGCTACACTGGTCTTCTTTGAGAAAGGTCTGAGAGGTACTGGGCTTCTGGATCACTCTGGGAAGACATGATGAACTGAGTATCTTGTCCTCACTTCCTCAGCATTCATGTCCATTGTGTCTTTCAGTTATTACATAAGAGTTCCTTTTTTTCTGTCATGTGACTACCTGATCGCAGACATGAACATTTAGATGGTTTTTAACCCTAGATAATTGTAGTTTCCAATATTGTTTTCTTCATCTGATCATTATTGTTATCTGTATTATTCCAGCCATGCCCTGAGGTAGATAAGCTGGTTCCCATGCTTTTTGCCCAGGATCCCAGGGTGCTGTAACTTTATCCCTGTGTACCTGCCTCTCCCAAAGTGGTGGGGTCTAGGTTTACTGAGAAAGTAATCTTCAAACACACCCGAGCTAACACCAATAGACTCCTTTATCGCCACTACTGCACGGATTACAAGGTCTCAAACAAGTTAAAGTTGTTTTTCTGAATTAAACAGCCGATAGTATGTAATTGCCATTTTGTGAAGTGATTACCATTGGCACAGCAGACGAAGAGCGCTGCCAAAACATTGTGTAGTCTGCGCAGTGTCTCAGTTTCAGTGTCTCTTTGGCAGGTGATGTCTTTCTTGAATCTGCTTTGTAATACACATTCACACTGCCCAGCACCTAAAACATTCTGCACTGCACTTAATCTCTTGTCGTTGATTGTGTTTTAATGAAATACACCTCTCAGAAATCCCTCTCCGTCAACAAGGTCATTGATACTATTGTTGTCAGGCAGCAGGGAGGCTTATCGTTTCTTTGATAGCTGCTGTCGGACAACCAGAAAATGATTTCCAACTGTGACACTGAAAAGTGGACCAATAGTGAGCCCTCTACTTCTTTACGTTGAAGTAAACCGGTGTTCTGATAAAAATGTTGATAGTGAGGAGATTTCAAGTTTTTTGAAGTCTCAATCTGAGGAGGACTTGGGTTTCTAGTTTATCGACCGTAAACAAATAAAGGATTTAGTTGTTTGCCACATTAGTTCATATACAGTATACATAAAAAAACATTCCTACTGTCATTTGGACTACAAATGTACACCCCTATGGTACACACTCCATTTGGTGTATCTTGGATCCTTACAATAAAGCAGTAGGGCTGCAAGTAACAATCTTCTGGAATGATCCATTTCATTTTGGGCATAAAAAAGAGATAACAAAAGAATGCTTGTTACATTAACTAAAACCCAAGGTGACTTGACATGTCTTGTTTGATCTACCAGCTGGCTGATTTTCTATTGCAGAGTACAAAGAAAACCAGCATATACTGCTGAAACGATGAATACATTTGAAAAGAATACTCTCTGACAGCAAACTTCTTCTGAACTTAAGTGTCCTCTTGTGTTGAATCCTTGTTAACATATTGCTGAATATGTTAACATATGAATTCTGATCATCTTTGAGGATTCCTGTGTTTGTATGTCCTATACAGGGACTCGAGAGGTGGAGGTTAGCTGAGGCACGTACCGCCGCTTATCAAGACCGCCTCTGCTCAGTAGCACTGTGTTATCAGGCTCTTATCTGACTCTAATGGTTAATAACCTTGGATGATAGCGAGAAAGTGCTACAGCGCTTAAAATCAAGTATGATAGAAATTTAAATTAGACAGGGTGTCGTTGTTTCTAAAGGCATATTAGTCTTCCTCACGTATAATGTAGTTCTTAAAACAACATCCAGTTTAGGCCATCTGTGTTTCTAAAATGGCTCTGGGCACTCAAAGGTACTTTAAGGGCTTCCAGGAAATCCTGAAACTGTTGATCATTCCTTAGTGTAGATCTCTGGCGAAGCGTGTTGCTTTTTCCTCTGTATTTTGTTGGCTTTGCATTTCAGCACATCCCAAACAAGTCGGCACGTTATGGGGTTAAAGTGCATCCTAACATAGTCATTGTGAGTATGTTAGCATGCTCAAATCCAATGCTGTGTCTATATGAAGCCTCACAGAGCTGCAAGGGAACTCGTCACTTGTTACATTTTTAGCGGAGAACTGGTGTCTGACTCCTAGATATCAGCACATACTTAAGTACATATACAGTATTTCCTGGTGATGCCTGCCAAGTCTGTGCTGTAGCAATCTTCACTTAGTTGTTTAGTAAATGCTTCATGTCATGCGCTGCTCATCCTATTTAATGAATACAAAATCATCACTTCATATTCCTTGTTTTAAATTAAATGTGCTGGAGTAAAGAGCCAAAACAAATCAAAACAAAACACTGGTATTATACTTTCTGATTGTACTTCATATTCAGGGATTACTGCCTTACAGCTAAAGTCTTCCAGCGCCTGTTTGCCTCGTGTTATAAATCTCCAGCTTTCTCAGACTAACCCCCGGATCTGTTTCTGTCTCCAGGTTATGCTGCCCAAAAGCTGTCTGAGTCCCAGTGAGAAAGAGAAGGGCTAAAGCCGCACCGATCCAAACCATCTTATCCAGAGCCTCTCCAGCAGCGACTGAGCCATGAGCAACCCCAACCACTTCCCAGATGCCGTGTCGTCGGTTATTCACACTGTAAGTCCACACGACCGCACACAGAAAGGCCTCAGTCTACCCCGTCAGGTCAGCCTCCACATGATAAAACACATGAAAAGGGTTGTAAAAAGGTTTGTAAAAAGGTTTGTAAATGTGCGGTTAATTTCCAAGGAAAGTTAATATAAATATAAAAATATTTTCTTTAGGGAACCCATTTGTTGGGAAAATAGACACACAAAGAAATACTAGATTGTTTTGGTTAAAGGTATGCCAATTTACTGCATTCAGAAGCATGTTCATCTGTCATGCACATATAATTTGCCAGCATACAATTACAAACTTGCACCACATGGTAGCCTTCCATTGACTGTCTAATTATTCTTTATTGACCTCCTTTATTTTCTAAAGTACTTCTTTACTTGACACCCAAAGTTTGCATACAGCACACATTGTTGGCTCCCATTTTCAAAGTACATTGCTAGCTAGCTAACTCACCACACGGCACGTTTCCCATTGTATGTATTTGACAAATAAGTGGACTCATTTGGCAAAAATAATAGATAAGTCTGTTAATGATGTGATAAAAGGTTAGTCATAGTCTCTTCATTCGTGCGACTTTAGCCATTGAATGTAAAACTTTCCTCAACTTCATATTCTCCCTGTGCTGGATGTATGCTGCATCAGCTCCAAAAGACTTCTCTGGCATCAGTGTATATTTTGGACAGTGCTGTTCCCTCAAACTATGTGTGCACACATCAAGTCACATGCTAGAGCTAATTTTCTCTCAACGTGCATCAACAAAAATATAAATATTCAAAAACACTTCAGATCTGCAGTGAATTTCCCTTTTCATTAGAGTACCAGAGAATGTGAACGGTTCCACAACTGAAACAGTTTCCTTCCTCTTTTATTTAAGCGGATGGGTTGCCAGTATTCAAAAGCAAAAATAATATTGGCATATAATGAAAAACATAATTGCCCGGCTGCTGGTGGGATTGATGTGATAAACATGCTGCCCGGGGGCATTTGGTCAGCAGCCAAAGTAAGCTGCATTCCTCAACTAGTTCATTTTGCGATGATTAAGATGCTGCAGCAGAGAATATCGCAAGCTTATAGGAACAATCCTCTCATGAATAGCCACATATTGTTGGATATCATCAGTTTGCAATGGTTTGTGAATTCCAGGAAACATTACGTTTGATTGCATTCCAGGATTCAAAAGGATAGCATTTATTTACTAGCCTTTCTCATGTTCTTTTGCTTGAGGTAAGGATTTCTAAGTTTCTCAGAAATGTCTGTCAACAGACCAAAGCTGGAGTTTACTATGCTGTGGGTTGAATGTGTAGGTGAGTGGAAATAATGATGTCTTTAGAGAAGTTTGAGCAAAAGAAGAAGAGATTTTCCACTCAGTTACAAGTCAGAGGCCAAATCTGATCAGACAGACTTCTGATTAAGTTGACTTTTTATTGTACACTTGAGAGAGATAACTTCTTACTGAAAGCAGAAATCCTATTCAAACTGATCAGAGCTGATTTGTTCTTTATTGCAACATCGACATAGGAAGTGCCTGATTTCCCTTAGCACAGCGTTTTTTTGTCAGTGCTTCCTTTCCAGTATTGCACAAACGTGTGCTCATGCTGACAAAGACTGCTTCTACCTGCATGTAGCCTGGACATAAACAACAAGTTCTGTCTGCGTTTGAAATCAAACCCCAGCTGTACAGAGAAAAAAGCTGAGTACTCCGGAGGTGGAAGTGAATATGTGACACTGATCCATGAAGGAGGTGCAGAGAGACTGAAGATGTCTTTTCTCAATTGTTTTATTTCCCTAAATAACAAATTACCTCATACTGAAATGACCCCATACTAAAGCTTTAACTGAGTTACCTTAATTAATTTGTACAATAATTCCAACACTAAATGCCACATAAAATACAAGTTACAATATACAACATAATGCATTATCCATGATTGAAAAGGAGCAGAACAGTCTTCCATTACCTGTCAATTATTAAATAAAAGTTTGACTTTGCAGTAACTGAAATATAGTAAAAGAAGTAGAACATTCAAAGTGCTTTATAATCCAACAAACTGTTGCATTAGCAGTGTGACGTTTTGTTAAGACACTGTTCTATGATTACACCCAGAATGATTCTGAATACCCCTTTAGGTAAAGTATAAAAATGGTAAGTTAGCATTGCAAAAATCATTGAGTTTCAATTTGACTACCTTGTTCTTTTATGTTCTTGCCGAAGCCTTTTGAGAATCAGCATATCTTTACTGCCGTTTATAGCCAGTAGGACAGTTGACTGCCATAAACCATTTGAAGGCAGGGGATTACAATATGACTTGTCTGTAATGAGACTCACCAGTGTGTAGCCTGATGACCACGAAGCTTACAAAAGATACAAATGTTTGCTGTATGACAGTGCCTCGGCAGTTATTGGTTGTTTTCTCGGCGCCGACTCTACCAAGTTAATTATTATCTCCTTTACAATGTGTATGTGTGGTTAAGGAGAGTTCAGATAATCCCGTTTGGATTTTTTTAATGGCTAACATTGTGAAACTGAGTAATGTCTTCTTCCTACCCTGGAGATCTGCCCTGGTCACGTGACGAGGGCTAACTGAAATGGGAAACAGGTTGTCTTCTATAAATGTGACGGACGTCTCCGGATTTTTCACTTTTGACATTGGAAAAGCAAATATAGCTATCTTGTTGTATTAAGGCTGCAGCAGCACGTGTGTGTTTGATGTGATGGACTATCTGTTTTCATTAAAGGTGAGTTTGTATAGCTGTAGTTTGATAATAGAGGTCTCAACGTGACACGATAGCTGGTCTTTTTCTTATCCTTCCCAGTGAGTCATTACACGTTATCCTACATTGGGCAAATGGAGATGTTCTATATGTAGACCTACTTGTTCTTACTTTGGTTCTTTGGGTAGATTTGCATTTAAGTGCAATATGTGTAAATAGGTATGGATACAATAGGGATATGTGCAATTTGACGGACACTATGCATAGGTGCAATAGGGAAAGTGCAATATTTGATTTACGTATGTGCAATAGGGAAAGTTCTGTACCTGTATGTTGTTTGTTTGTTTGCCATGTGATATGTAATCTCTGTTCTGTATCTATGACTGATTGTCCTAAATGTTTTTATGTTTATTATCTCGATGCCCAAGACACATTTCTCCTAAGGGAGACAATATCTATCTATCTATCTATCTATCTATCTATCTATCTATCTATCTATCTATCTATCTATCTATCTATCTATAACACTCTGCAGCTGGTTAATGTGCAGTCTTGTTCTTGTGCTTTTGAGATTTACTTTTACTTCCTCAACAGCTCATTGACTTTTCTCAGGCATTAGAAATCCAAGGTAATTATTACAACCTAATGTTATTTTAATGCGTCAAAGAGTCACCCCTCTAATGTCAGCAGGTGGATTATGAGCGGTTTCTTGAAAGGTGACCGCTGTGTGAATTTCATCTGGTTTAATTAACAGGAAAAAGTCATAGGAAGGAACCCGCTGTGTTGCTGGCTCAGTTGAAAACAGTTTGTTTTTCCTTCTCCTCTCACACAGAAAGGTCAGAGGTCAGGGTCAGCTGCAGAACAGAGGGTATGGTAGGGATATATCTTGCTGTAGGGCAGTGCAAACAAATGCTTCATGCATTGGATGAGAACTTTCTAGTGTACGTTGAGTTATCTTACCAGATATGTTTGTATTAGTTAATTGTGAATGTGTGACAAGGGGAGGGGGTTGGAAATGGAAAGTTGAGAAAAAGGACAGACATGGAATGAAGAGTAGAACACTTTTTTATAATAAGGTGGTGAGAAACTCATTCATTGGATCATTGGATTATTGATGTAAAGTACTATATATACATTTGACCGCAACTAAGAATATTGATACCACTATCAAGTCTCTCCTCATAAGCTATTCTCAGGTGCTAGTTAGCTTAGCATGTAAAGTTTGCTTTGACTGCAGATTAAATCAACAATATATATATATATATATATATACATACAAGTGGGCAGATTGTGTAACCATTTGACCGAGCCAGACTTTCTGTTTATCACTGTTTTTTTAAGCTTTATGCTAAGCTAGTTAGCTGCTGCCTGAAGCTTCATACTACCATGAAAGCGGTGTTTATATTCTGATGTAACTCAGCAGGAATAAGAATAGGCATATTTCCTGAAATTTAAAAAAAATGTAAAGACTGCAAGTGACCCCTCACTATTGTTTTAACTTGGAAAGTTCAAACAAAGAGATTCTCCTCTCTCAAATAGTTTCTTTTTAAAAATGTTGAGGCCTGATAGTATTAATCTAACCAACGTATGAACGTGCGTTTTTGTTGTTTGTCCTGATAATCTTTCCCCTATGGTAGGTCCTAACCTTCAGGTGGGGAGCTACTGTTCTAGGTCAAGACATGCACCAACACTTTCTGTCATCATCTCATAGCCTCATTCTATTTACTGCAATAATGAACTCTGACATTTTAAGGCCACCGTATCAGTGACTCGAGTGAGTTTCTGTGTGGAGAGAGCCATCAGAAGGGTCAGTACAGTGCTATTCACACCCCCTCCTCTCTTTAGTGTTGTTACTTCATAGACTTCCTCTGATGTCCACATTACAGCCCCTGCAGAGTTTATCAGTTGGACTTCTTCAACTAAGATAAAGCTGAGTTGTGAGAACATTATCTCAGGCAAATTATCTTTCAGTGTTTTGCTACTGAAAACCATGTTTGCACCATATGAAATTATAAAGCTGATGACTAAAAGCAAAAATCCCCAGACAAATATTATCAAACGGTATCATTAGACAGGCAGCCAACCAAAAGAGTAGGAGACTTATTTATTTTCTGCTCTCTGACTGTCTGGAGGATGTCTTGACTATAGAGTTTATGATGTAAACATTTGCATTTGATTCAAGCCTAGCATACATGCCTTTTTAAAACTATGATGTAATAGAAAAGTAGTGCTTGTATATCACAAAAAGTTGGCCGAGGACAAAACTGGGTTACAACTCAACATGCTTTCCTAGAATATTCAGAGACGGAGCATTTGCGCTCCGGGGTCTCGGTCCAGACTCATGTTAACATCTAAAGGAATGCAATGACTCATCAGCCAAACGGCATGACACTCCACAACATCCACAGCTATCCCCCCCTTCCCCTCCAAGTGCTGACTGTGTGGGATTTGAGCCTACCTCACAGCACAGATAATCTGCTCTGCAGCCTCAACACATTGTCAAGTGTCCACCTCATTACACAACACACAGTACACAACACACTTCTTTCAAAAACTATTGATTTACAAGATGACCTCTTTAGGTAGCTTATTTTTTTTTTTAACACGGCACTACATTTAGATACATTTACAATACAAACTCAAACATTTCCTTTGTTTGTTTTTTCAGTCCTTCGAGACTACTTCCACTGCCTGCTATGAGTCAGACTCATTTGTGTCTCACTTTTCCACTTAAGCCCAAGCTGAAATTTCTCAACAACTATTGGATGGATTGCCAAGAAATGTACAGTAGTACGGACATTAATATGCCCCTTGAGATACATATGCATGTTGACACTCTTAACTAAGCTGACAAACAAGGTTAACATTATTTTTATTTTAATCAGCAAGTTAGCATTTTGAGCATGCTAACATTAGCTTTATGTCAAAGCTTTGCTCTACTGAAGTACATCCTCACAAATCTGCTAGCATGGCTTGGTAACTGGAATATCCTCAAGTCTTACAATATTTGGCTTTTAGTTTAAGTGAAAATGGAAAATATACCATTACTTTACTGCTCTATTCTAATCTTCAGCATTATCTTCTATTCTTATATTTACCCTGCCTTGCATAATTCATTATAGTTTACAATGAAATGAATACACGGGTAAATTGGGAGTTCTAATATTGGTTTCTGTGGATACATGCAATGGATAGGCTTCCTGCCCTGCTAATTCCCTAAAGTGAACATAAATTCAAATAATTGAGTTGTATTGAGATCCTATTGATTGCAAATACAAAATAAGTGGCACTTTGATTGAGAATTTGATCGAAAATGATGAAAATGCCCTTTGTTGATAGATGTCATCAACATTAATGCAATATAACTTCCCATAAAAAGACACCAGTTTTCATTCGGTTAATACATTATGCATTCAATATAAATGAATTACTAAGTTAAGTGGTTTTATTCACTGGTCAAATCGTCATCCACAAAGGTTTTTTTCCATCATTTGTCATGTAGAATGTAGTGATTTGTGGTTTGACCTTTCTGGCACACACAACATTTTAATCTCAAATGTCATATGTCAATAATCCATGAAAAATGCATCCTTTGAAAATGGTTAGATTTCCTATGCATTTACATTGCCCTTCAAGGCACATTGACTAAGAGCACCGGTGTCAATATTTAGGCTTCATGTGTCAAAGTAAGAATGTGGAGATGAATGTCAACGTTGGGTTTTGTTCTTGGCTGTTCAAACACGGCTTGTCCTTTCAAGCAGCATTTGTCCTCAAAGCGAGAATGAGAGTCTTGTTTATTCTGCCTACGTACAATGGGCAGACTGGGGAAGGTGGCAGGTTGGCCGATAGGGCTCTGATTAGGGCATCACGCGGCTTTGATAAGCGTGGAGAGAGGGATGTCTCCTGCTTGCAGCTCTTAATAGAGGTGACTTGATTCAGAGCTCCAGTTGTGTCATGTTTGAGCGCACTGACACTTGTTGCCATCAAACGTTAACCAAGCTAACGTTGCCATGAGCGAGGTAAGTCCCCAAAACTCTTAACTCTCATTTTTGTTTTCACTGGGCTCCCCCTCGGCTTGTCTTCGCACATGGTTTTGGTTGTGGAAAATTCTCCCACCTCTTTGAGAATCCCTCACACATCTCTCCCACCTCTAGGGATTCACTGTGAAACCATGATATGAATGAGAGCTCTGTAAAAATAAACTCCCGGATAGTGTAGCAGCATACATCTGGATAGGATAAGGGTACAGAAGGCTTTTTGGAATCGGTCATCTAATTGAATTTTGGAAGTATTGAGATAGTGACGGAGACGCAGGCTGATGCCTATTTGCAAAAATGCAACGTTTTCTTCATGTTTTAATGGAACTGTTGCTGATGCCAACATTGTTAAACAGCTGCAACTCAATCATGTTTGTCTATTCTATTTGCTTTGACTACATTTATGTTTCAAAATACCCACATTTTCCATTGAAATGTTCGTGGTATTGATGCTTTAAAGTCCTGGATTGTCTTTGGCAGTTTGTTCTGGAGGTCGCTGAGGTGAACGCATAGTTTATTTTTTGCTCTTTTTTTTTTACACTATTGTTGATCTGTCAAAGGAAAAAATGCTATATGAGGAATTGAACCTTGGGTAAATATTGAATGTGTGCTGTCCTCCTCTTTTTACTCATAAGTCTCAGTTTGTCTTCAGGTCAGCGCAGGGCTTTCTGTTTCTGTCACCTGTATGTGGCATGTACAACCAGGTCAGAGTAAAAGTTGGCACGGTTATGCGAGTCATGGGAATCTGTTTTTCACGGTTCCTCTGGACATGCCTGAATTCATGTAGGTCCACCAAGCTATAAATAAGATAAATTGCTAAATTGAGTGCTTCAGTTACCATTTTTGCGTTTGATGTGCAAAATGTGATAAAAGTGTAACAAACAATGTTTCAGGGCTGATCCACATCATGCGTGTAACACCTACCAGTTCTTGTTCTGTATGTGATGAGTTGATTTAAGTTGAAGTGAAGAGTGAACTCGCCTTGTTACTATATTATTTCTAGATTTATTTTGGTGTCTCGTTACAGTTTGTGGCACAGTTTGAAAACACATGTCCAGTGTTGGAAACAAGTTTGTTTTAGAGTAGAAAATGAAAAGATACCACAGTACACAATTATTATAAGTTTATAATAACTGCATTATAAGTTTATAATAATAAACTTATAATGCAGAACTTTTTCTGTCTCAAGTAAAAGTTCTGCATTCAAAACTCAGAAGTATAATCAGGCAATTTTACCAGTGCGTTGAATTTGATGATATTATTAAATCTGTCTTAATCTTAAAGCTAAAGATTAATTATTGCTATCAGATAAATGTATTGAGAAAAAGGACAATGGCACCCTGAAATAGTGTGAATTCAAAAAATTACAACATTGATATAATCCATTTTAAGTTACATTTACTTTACCCACATTGATAAAAAATCTATGTCAAACAAATATATGTAATTTTTGCATATATTACTATGTGTTTTTGTACTTTGTTAGCAGTCTTCTGTGCATACACATTGTGAGACAAAAGTAAGAGCTGCAGGTGTGAGGGGAGTCTTCACAGGCTTTGTGTTACTCCCTGCTGCCATGGAGATAATGTAATATATAATTGACATGCTGGATGTCCTGAGAACCATTTATTGGAGCATCAGATAACCTGCAGCCCCTGAGTTTTGCCACGGGAAGGGTTCACAGCAGGAAATGAGGCACCTGTGCAGTAGTCATGGCAACATTTACTCTTGCGTGAGGTGGCTACAGCCCGATCCTGTTAGCCATAGCAGATCCTCTCGCTGTGTCACGGCAGGCAAACCTTATCACAACATCCCACCGGCAGAGCGGGGCGCAGCAGGGCACGACATCCCGCTGCAACCAAACAGATCCCTATCACCCACATGATCCCTGTCACACCACAGCTATGAAAAAGAGTAACAGATCAGAGCACATGGCTATTGATTTCAATTTAAGGCAGATTTTCAGGAAGGTATGCATGACAGAACTCACATGATGTCTGACGCTGCAGTATTTGCAGAACCAGAACTCCCTCTAGTGTTGGTTTAAGTGAAAAGCAATACATGCTGTGTTCCAAATCCTTACTACATAGCAGGTTATGAGTTGCCATTATCTGTGTGCAAAATACAAAACTATTACAGTTTTCCGTGTGCAGTTGATGGACACGATTCTCCGCAGTGAAATGCACAAAGGAAGATTTAGAGCGTATCACAGCTGCAACACATTAAAAATAAATGAGGACAAAACGGTTCGAGAAACACCCAAGAAGACAACAATAAATATTGATCTAAAAGAAAAATATTTTGCTGGCCTTTTAAGGTTTAGTTGGCAGTATAATAACTGCAAAAATAGAACACTATAAAGACAGTGTATAGTATACTACAGTAAGAAATTGGGACAAATCAAACGTAAAGAGTACTAAATCTAAATGACTTATGAGAAATAAAGTGCTAAATTGAAATAACAATGACCTGCAGTGAACTTTTATTGTTAAAAGAAGCAGGATGATATATTAAAAATACTAGAATATTTCACAAATGTATGGTTTGCTAATGTGTTTCTTAATTGTGTATTAATTCTTTGTATTAATGTGCTGTTAATAAATATATTTCTCAATCTAAAAATGCTGAACAGCTGACAGATTTTTATTCAAGATTTGTATCTAAAATATGTGTTTTGTTGCAGCCAGACGCTCCTTCTGACGCTCCTTCTGACGCTCCTTCTGCCTCATCACTACACGGGCCTCCGCGCCCTGAAGAGGAGGATGATGGGGACCTGAACAAAGCGTTGGGGGTCCAGCGCTTCGAGCAGATCCTCAGCCCCGCTGCTGCTGTGCCTGATGAACAGCACCACAACTACCATGAGGAGGACATTGAATGTAAGCCCATAGTGATCCCTTTAGCCCGGGCATTGTGACAAATAACTGTTTTCGTATGAAAGTAGCTCATGTCTATGGATCTCTGCTTCACCTTCCCTCAGACCACCGTCACTCCTCGCACCACATCCACAGACCTCTGTCCAAACTGCCCTCCGACGGACGCAGGAAGAAGAGCAACAAAAAAAGGAGGAAGGACAAAGATCACAAAAGCAGCCATGCTCCCAGCGGCCCCATAGAGGAGGGAGAGGATGAAGAGGAAGAGGAGGAGGACGGGACAGAGACTTCTGGTCCATCTGAGACGGAGAGAGTGAAAGATGTGGAGGTAATCATTCTAATTCATACTCAACTTTGATGGACAAATATCTCCAAGGGCTGGATTCAGCATTATATACTAAATATGTATCAGGCAGTATTTGTGTATGGGCTTAGGTTGTGTTTCATGTTTATACAAAAACTAGGACTTCATGTAAAAAGTATTTTGATAGCTTATGCATAAACAGCAAATCGAGATTGATCATTTGATCTCATACTGTCTCGTTAAAATGAGAGTATCAGTCAATAAAGGAGGGCAAGGTGACCTTTAATGTCCGATGTGATTTACATTAAGATGTGAAGTTAAGGAATGTCCTGCTGTAAATGGCCGCAGTTCATGCTCCAATACCCAACCTGCTCACACACTGTATTAGCATTACCATATTTTCCTATATGAATATTTCAGTATAGTCTTAATCATTCATCAGTGGGTTTCAGGTTGGGTTGTTATTATGCTTCACAAAATGAAACTATGCACCCCCGCAGAGTGTGCAGAACATAATTCAGATACGTTTTTTTACTCTAATTTAGCTTGATACGTTTATCTGTTTTGACTGTATCTGTCACTGTATTTTCTTTTTATTTGTTACTTAAAAAAAGCAGCCTTGTTGTTGCTCTCTTATCCCATCACATACATTATACAATATATTGTTTCTATGTCCATCAATTGTTTAATGCTGTGAAGCCCTCCCAGGATAGATGTAGTAGTTTTATTTCCTTGAGATGAATAATAATAATAATTCACAGTATTTATTTAGCGCTTTTCCTAGTGCTCAAAGCACTTTACATTACATTATATTACATGTTACTTATAAGACATGTAATACATTCAATACTGTGGACAATACCCACAGGAGCAATTTGGGGTGAAGTTGTGGTCGTTGTTTGTTTTTATTCTTACGTTCAGTTTTTCCTCAACAGTTCTTTCTTTCTGATGAAGACCAAGTTTCCAAACGAGGCAAAGAGAGCCCCCACTCTGCCCGTGAGCTGGTGATCGTGCCGCAATCTGGGGTGGGAGCTGATACTGAAGATGCATCTTCCTCAGAGTGAGTCTAGTTCTTGGACTTGAAAAAGGAGGCGTGAGAGACTTTATAATCATGCTTTACCCGCTGCGATGATTGCATGTTTTTGCCATGTTGCTGAAATGTATCGGGGACATTCTGATTGGGCGAGATGGCTCAGGCTCATGTTGATTGGCCAGTGAGTACACACTGTACGTAACCATGTCTCAGGCATCCAGTGGGCCTGCTGTGCATGATCCGATAGACTCGAGTAATCCTCTCCTCAGAGACCCATATATCACCTGTTGCTTTAGACAACAGCACACCTTAGCAGCCCGAGGCTCCATCCATGACATTTACTGTTCCACCTCATGAGGGTCTAATCTGAGCAGGGAGAGAGCTGCGTATATACATCTTTCGCTTGTTTGCAGTCGAGGGAGGAACAACCTAATAACAGCGGATTTGTTTTGTAAACCATCTTGAAATAAGGGGTAAATAATTTTTTATAGTCTTCAAATGATGCAGGCAACTGACATTTAAAGGAAGGTGAGTTCATTATGTTTATTTCAAAAGTGCCTTGAAGGAATTTGCATTAGCCGAACATCTTTATCTGCCTCTTTGAAAGATTTAAAAAGCTAACTAGCTAGCTAATTATATTTTTGGCTAAGAGATACAAATTATATTTCTTTTTTATAGGACTACCATTATTGGGGTCTAATACATCAATCAAAAGATGATTACCAAAGTCAAAAGATATCATTGGTGTGACAAGCAAATCACCAATACAATGAGAACAGTCGAAGATATTTTGGTTCAGAGGCAATAAATTAGTAATAAAGTGTCCTGTTTTTCTGCTTTTATCTAGTAAGCCAGCCTCATCCGCCGCCTCCAGCCCCTCTCCCCAGTTGGTGCCCCCTGAAAGCATACCTCTGGCCCGGGTGTCCACCACCAGCCGCAGCTACGACCTGCAGGATCGCCGGTGCACAGGCAACATGACGGGGGCCGAGCAGGCCAAGTACCAGCGCATCCCGACCGACGAGAGCGAGGCTCAGACGCTGGCCTCCGCTGACCTGGACGGCATCAAGAGTGAGTACAGATCCATTCATACTTTATAGATTTTGTTCTGAAAAAACCTTCTCCCCGCTGGACTTTAGTGCACCAGGTGACCAAAACAGACACGGATTGACTATTTAAATAAAGTATTATGTTTTAAGTGCATACCTAGGACATTTGGTGGAATACAAAGGTCACCGCAATATGAAATACCCCTAAAGCTAGATCTCAGTGTTTGCTTTTGTGGGGTTATTATTCCTGATTAAAGCTTGTTGTTGTGTTGAGAAGAAAAACAATATATATTATTAGAATCACAATCATATTTTCATATAAACAATGGGTCATATCTGTACGTGTAAGGAGTTGCTTGTAGTAATGATAACAGTGAAATTAACTTTGTTGTAAGTGATAATATGTCTTGTATTTACATGTTTTCCCACAAAGGATTGCATGTTTCAATTTTAAATATTATTACTGTTGTTCAATAGCAAAAAGATAAATAGGAGGTACAGGTAAACTGTTATTTTCTGTATTCAAACAATAAATTATACATTTATTCAGCTGGAATTATAGATCATTTATTGTCCATCTTAGGGCTCTCTTGTATGATCTACTTCAGGCAGATCAATGTTAGATGTGTTGCTGCTCAGATTCCTGCAGAAACATCAGGGCGAGGGAATGGGGGGGGGGGCACCTCTAGTCCCTTCTACATTGCAGTGGCTCCCTGCTGCCCTGTGACGTAAATCTCTCGGCCCTAAAAACAGCCTCACGCTGGGGCCGGAGAGATTTACGTCAGGGAGTCGACCCCTCAGCAGCAAGCAGCAGCTTATCAGAGAGTGTGGCAGACAGGCCCACATTATTACTGTCAGCTGAGGCCCCTGGACCCAGGCCAGAGCCAACACGGTGGCTAATTGTGAAACCTGCATCTCAGTTCACACCCTTTATCGTTAGCAGAATGAAACAAAGGGACGAGTTAAGCTTAAATGAAGGCTGTTGATGGAGTTAGACGCTTAATATACCTCGGATAAGCGTGAATTACAATTGCTGGCACGAACCTGAATGACCTTTCACGACTGTACATGTCTTTTTAAAGAAGGCCCACCTATAATCTACCAATAACTAAATGTAAGGAGACTTTTGTCCCTGCTGCCATTGGCTTCTTCAATATTAAATAGTGGTCTTTGTATTGTACATGTTGTAATGGGGGTGATGCTTAAAGCTGGCCATAGAACGATTGGCCTCTCCAGGTTAAAAAGTTATCCATGATCCTATTTGCTCAGTGACACAGAGTAGAGCCCCCCGACAGGTTCATCGCCAGATATTCTTTGTCTTTGTCTGCTTTTATCATCTTCCCGCTACTGTAAATCATCCTGGGAAAGTGTCTGCGCCTCTGGCTGCTGCTCAACAATAGGAATTATTAGATCACTGTCCTTCCCCTTTTGTCCGACCTGAGCGAATACACCTCTGCTCGCTGATGCATTCTGATAGCTTCAGCGGGGTCAGGCGCCGGTCAAGAAATTGCATAGTTTCCCAATTTGTCAAAACTTGCAAGATGGGTGCTCCAGTTTGAAGGTGGCACGTAGTCAGACAGCAGTGCCAGCTCTAACCCTACGCCCACCACAAAATCCCCTCTTTCTTCAAAAGCAGCATGCAAGGCAGGCTGTTATTTTAACACCAGGGGCTGCCCAAGAACTCAGACATCATGGAGCGACTTGACAAGGGACCATCTCGGTAAAGCTACAATAAGCAAGTTCAAATCTGATAGTCTATATCTAATACAGGTTCTGAACTTGGAATGACTTGCTGGTTTTACATATGAGTTGAAACATTGATGAGGAACCCTAAAAGCATCACTGTTTGTTTCATAGGACATACACACTCTGACAAAGGTAAGGCATTCTTGAAGGTTGTTGACAATGAAAGATTTTTAAGAGAGAAGTTACGGTGCTCAATGTGGTTTTACAATTTTTACAATAATATTCTGCCTAGCTTTCACTAATTGTCGTGTTCTCATTGAATGAATCAATCTAGTTTTTTTTTATCTTTGAACTCTCTAAACCTGATTCAACCATTCCTAGTGTTGTGTGAGTGCCATCCGGTGTCTCTCTCCACATCCTTTTCACTGCCTGCTGTGCTGGCAGCCTGAATAACTTTACTCCCTGCTGAGGGACCACAGACAAACAAAAGCATGGAGGCTTGGCCTTATGTGACCTGTTGCAAGGTCAATGCATGCATGCCAAGGTCTCCAGAAGCACAACACATAGGGAATAATTTTTCAGCCTATGTACTGTGCTGGGGTCTAATTTCAATGGATATTATTTCAATTGAATTGCATACACTGTTTGTTTTTTGGTCAGGATGTTTTTCAAGGCTGGCTGAAGTCAAAAGTAACATCTGATTCTTAATCTTTCACACAACTCACCAGTCTCTTCTTCTCCACCAGGTCATCGTTTTGAAGATGTTCCCGGTGTGCGCAGACACCTGGTCAGAAAGAGCACCAAGGGTCAAGTGGTGCACACCGGCAAGGACCACAAAGAACCCACCACTCGCAGCAGTAAGAAGGACCGGACCCCGCATGAGGTGAGAAATCACAGTACTCTCTTTTCATCCATCCTCTGCCTTTCAGCCTCACAAGAATCTATATTTATTTTGGCATTTAAATAACGTATCTGTATCAAAAATAGATAAAGGACTGGGGTAGAACATTTGCATTTTGCTGACATTTGCTGACACAACCATTATCCTTACGTTAACGAGAGTTGAGCCCTAAAAAAATAGGTAAAAATGTTGAATTCTTTTTTTACTCAACAGAACTGTCACCTATTTTGCAATTAATTTATTAAATGTTAGGATAATAAAATGAAAATTGGGTTTTTGAAACCAAGATAAAGGTTAAAAAAATTATGAAGTGTTAAAAGATTGTTTTAGATACTATAACTATTACATTTGAAGCTTACAAGTGCTCCTTTCCTGGAACAACCCACACAAAAATTGTCTTAAAGAAATAAAATACATTCATATTCTGACTGAAGCTCCTAAATATGAAATTAAAATGCTATATGAATTCTCATACAAATTTGCATTTGATATTTCAAAACTGCTTGTTTTGTTAAAACAATATTTTGTGTTGTATAGACTAAGAATACAGGTAAATGTTTTCTGATGCTGCCAATGATAACTTTACCCTAGGAAAATAACTAGTATGTCAAAGCTGCAGTTCTATAGATGAAACCTTAATCGGTCTGAAAATGACGGATTTTTAACTCGGCAGCTGCTCAAAGATGATTATACTTCAGGCTTTGTTGCCCCAAAAATTACACAAAATTGTAGTCCTGGGAAATGTTTTCCCTTTTCCTCTCTCAAATGTAGCACTGCCTTGTCTCTTTGTGGATTGGACAGGGAGGAAAGAAGACAATTAAAAATGAATGAATGAGTTATTTCCTTTCACACACGGAAAAGAAAAAAGAAGGGAGAGAGAAGCTTAGGTAACCAGAGCTCCTGAGAGAGAGAGCCATGTTTTATTAACACACACACACACACACACATTCTCATACTTGCTCTCAGCCTCCAGTAGCCTCGGGTAAACAACAGGTGCTTGTCAGGTGTGTGTGTGACCAAGAAGAGTTACCTGTGGGTTTGTCTGTAAAAGTTTGATGGTCCCCTCCTCTGTGCCGGCTGTATAAGTGTTTGAGTCCTCTCCTGCACCGTCTCGCTCCTCCAGCCGTTACCAGTGGTTCTGTATCACTCCGCCTCGGGGCAAAAAGGCGCCCTGCTGGACATGATGGACTCCGGTAAAATGGCTCGCTACCAGAAGGTGAGGCTGGGTGACCGGCCAGCGTCAGTTTTGATCCGTGTGAGCGTGATTTCACAAGCATGCGGCAGGAGAAAATAATTTCAGGGTTTTTCAGTGGTTTGGTCTTCATCTCACAGGGAATGTTGACTGACCCGCATGGTGTTCAATTAGTTACAGATATTGGATGCAGAGTGAACTGAAGATGACGGTCTCTCCTCTGACTTTTGTCATTGGCCGTTCTCTTTATTTTTTTAGTTGAACATCTAGGATAATAACATAGACAGGGTTTACTTACGTGTGTTGGGTGAATTTAAACAAACCGGTAAGCATGGATCTATGATTTTGTTTCCACCACTTAAACACGTTTGTATCAACTGGCTCGATAAAGAAGTGCCTTGGCTATAAAGTTGAAGTGTTAAGGCGCATGCTGTTTCTTCCATGGACAATATGGATATTGTGAATCTCATCTACTGCTGCATGTGTTCCCGTGTGATGTTGTCCCCAGGTGTTTGTGGAGCTGAATGAGCTGACTATGGATAAGAACCAGGAGATGTCATGGAAGGAAACGGCTCGATGGATCAAGTTTGAGGAAGATGTGGAGGAGGAGACGGACCGCTGGGGGAAACCTCACGTGGCCTCGCTGTCCTTCCGCAGTTTGCTGGAGCTCCGAAAGACAATCTCACACGGTAAGGGAACAAAGAATAGTTAACTCTGGACATTTTCAAAGCCTGAGAGTCAGTGTGAGGCAGTTCACAAAGTACTTAGCCCAGTGTGTGTGCATCCACAGGTGCAGTGCTGCTGGACCTGGACCAAAAGACCCTGCCTGGCATCGCCCATCAGGTGGTGGAGAAGATGATTATTTCTGACCAGATCAAAGCTGAGGACCGGGCCAATGTCCTGAGGGCCCTGCTGCTGAAACACAGGTGACCTAGAGCACCAGACTGCAACAAACATGCACAGGATTTCCCTTTTTTAAGATGATAAAACTAACCCAGTGAGGTGATTTCCAGCCACATTGATGGATGTGCAAAGTTGTGTTTCATGCCTGGCTTTTTCTAGTAGCTACACCTGTATATGATGGTAATTTTGCTAAAAATGTTATTTGTTTCCCCATTTTGTGTCATTTGAAACACAGAAAGGAAATGTTTGGGAGAAATAGGGATTAAATGAAACAATGGACGTAGAGGTTTATGTGTACATGACTTACGGATGTTTTTATTTAATATAGTAGCATGTTAACACAAAACTAAATATTGCCTTCCAAAGCTAGTTCATACTTTTAGTGATGAGGATACTTTCCTTTCTCCCTCACTGCTACACAACTTCCTGCTGCTAGGTGGCTTCACGCGTGGTCACTTCCTTTGTTCCTCCGACTCACCCTCTCTCTTCCTCTCCCTGCCTCCCCTAGTCACCCGAGCGATGAGAAGGAGCACAGCAGCCCTTTCCCCAGGAACATCTCGGCGGCCAGCCTGGGTAGTCTAATCCCACATCACCACAGCGCCAACCACTCCCACCAGACAGATCCTTCAGTGACCGACCCGCTCATGGGCACCGTCCCAACGGGGGACTCAGAGACACGCATTGACATGGACAAAAACGAGGTAGGTCCGAAGTGTTTTCTCAATAAAGTCACAGTTAACATTTTTCTTCATTATCCTGACTTTGCTTCTTGTATTGCTTTTGGTTTACCACAGAAGGAGCCGAGTGTGGTGTCTGGTATGCATCGCTCCAAATCCAAACATGAGCTCAAGCTGCTGGAGAAGATTCCTGAAAATGCTGAGGCCACTGTTGTCCTTGTGGGTGAGTTATCTCCTCCTAACTCCTTCCAGTTAAAATACTCTGACTATTTCTGTGTGTATGTTGACTGTTACTTCCCGCTGTCCTTTAGGCAGTGTGGACTTCCTGGAGCAGCCCACCATGGCGTTTGTGCGGCTGCAGGAGGCCGTGGAGCTGGAGTCCGTCCTGGAGGTCCCCGTGCCGGTCAGGTTTCTGTTCGTCCTGTTGGGACCCGCAACCACCAGCATGGACTATCATCAGATCGGACGCTCCATCTCCACACTCATGTCCGACAAGGTGAGGTGTAGACATTGTTTTGATACCAACCCCAATCACATATGACGATGAAATCTCACCTACATAAAATCAGACAAACTACAAAACACCCTATTATTGAGAAGAAAATCTAATTATATGTAATTATTTATTTAAATTCAGGTACAATAAAAAGCTCACACTATACACTTCCAGGTACAAATGCCGAACCTTCTACCCTGTCATTTAGCATATTATCTTATAAAGACTTGATCATTCCACTGAAGCATCAACTTGTATTGTCTTTCACCTCCAACACCTGCTGTTTTGAGTTATCAATAATGATGAACTTTCTCGAGAGCTTTGAAATGTAATTTTATCAGCAAGTTTGCCACCTTACTTGGTAGAAAAGTAAAAAAATTGAATGGATTGTTGCCAAATAAACTTAAAAACAGACCTGCAAACTGGAAATAAGCAGAAATATAGGTCCAACTTTTTGCTTATTTTATTGGTTCTATTTGTTTATATCATGAATCGTCATCCAGCAATTCCACGAGGCAGCCTACCTTGCAGACGACCGGCAGGACCTGCTGAATTCCATCAACAGCTTCCTGGACTGCAGCATCGTGCTGCCGCCTTCAGAGATGGGAGGCGATGAGCTGCTGCGCTCGGTCGCTCGCTTCCAGAGGGAGATGCTGCGCAAGAGGGAGGAGCAGGGGGTCAAACTGACCAAGGAACCTAAAAGCATGGAAGATAAAGGTAAGCATCTCCTCAAATATTGTGGCCTTTATCAAAGGAGATTCGTTTGCTTATATCGTAATTAATAACCCACTCTTTCCCATCACAGAGGCCCTCCTCACACCCTTCAAAAAGTCAGACGACCCTTTAAAGCGCACCGGGCGGCCTTTCGGCGGGCTCATACGGGACGTGCGTCGCCGTTACCCAAAGTACCTCAGCGACTTCAAGGACGCTCTGAACAGTCAGTGCATGGCCGCCGTATTCTTTATCTACTTTGCTGCTCTCTCTCCAGCCATAACATTCGGAGGCCTACTGGGTGAGTGTGAAAGCACGAGTTATTCACAGTTCGTCTTCTCATGTGTCAAACATCTTTCATGCTTGTGTCTTGATAGGTCACAGGCTTAAACCTCGTTGGTGTTCATTAACGTCTTCCTTTGCTGTTGCTAGGTGAGAAGACGGACGGTCTGATTGGTGTTTCTGAGCTGATTGTGTCCACCGCAGTGCAGGGTGTGCTCTTCTGCCTGCTTGGAGCGCAGCCGCTACTCGTTGTGGGTTTCTCGGGACCTCTGCTGGTTTTTGAAGAAGCATTTTATAGTGTAAGTTGTTGAATAGCAAATACAATTTTTAACTATTTCTCTAAAGCTAGACTCAGGCAAAACAAAACAAAAAAATAAGTACTATTCCAAAAGTGGTGTAACAGAAAAGATGTTTAATGCCTTACATTCAAGTGTCTATGGCTACTCTGAACATTTTCCAGTGGATGAATTTAGTTTCTTTGGTCTGTGTCCTGACAGTTCTGCAAAGCGAACGAGATGGAGTACCTGACGGGCCGCGTCTGGATCGGGTTCTGGCTCATCGTCATCGTGATCGTCACGGTGGCCTTTGAGGGAAGCTTCCTGGTCCGCTTCGTCTCCCGCTTCACCCAGGAGATCTTCTCCTTCCTCATTTCCCTCATCTTCATCTGCGAGACCTTCATCAAGCTTGGCAGGGTACGCCTGAGACCTGAAATAAAAACTCCTGATTACAAAACGTTTTTGTTGGCCAGCTGAGCTCACATCCCTGACACTAAACTGAACAGACTAATCTTGGACAGTATTCAAAGCTCGAGGTTGAAACCAGTATGTTGTTCTAACAAAGGCATCTGAAAGCTTTTGTGATTGATTGTCCCTGAAAGTTAAATGGATTAAGACTTTGACTATTATCCCGGCTTATGATTTTCGAAGGTTTGCTATTTTAGAGTTTATGGCACAGACATGAAAGGCATCTTGGATAATCCAATTTTCCACAAAGTGTTGTTACCTTTTTAAAAAGAGATAGACGATTATATTTGTGTGTGTTCTGTTGTAAAATGTTGTGCTTTAATTATAATCCTCTGTGCTTTCTGACAGATTTTCAAAGAGCACCCCCTTAAACGTTGCTCCCTGAACAACGGCACAGAATGGAACTCAATGGTAGAAAATATCACAGTCGTCCAGGGCAACAGCACGCTGCCGATGACAGTGGGAGTCCGAGGGGAACCCAACACTGCGCTGCTCTCTCTGGTCCTCATGGCCGGAACATTCTTCATCGCCTTCTACCTGAGAAAGTTCAAGAACAGTGCCTTTTTCCCTGGCAGGGTGAGGAGCTTACTTCATTTTAAAACTGTCCTGCAGCATTAACTGACATATTTAACCTTCCTTAAACCTCTTATCATCATATATCAAGGATCCATATATGTTTTCACAATCCGTGAAGTCAATTATTGCATTAAAACCTGTTTAGAGTCAGAATAGTCATCCTATACAATGAAATATTTTCAATTAAGAATAATTTGAGCCAATTTAAAATGCTCTAGTTGTTAAAATGTTACCAAAAGGTCCATTCAAGCTGTTCTGGAGCTTTGGGTTGTATCACATGATTATGCATGGGTTTGCCATGTTGAATTTTCTTTCTATTATTTTAATATTACAAGGATTAATCTTGCGAAATACTCAGCGAGGCACACACAAGATATCCTACCGTCTCTAAATATAACAGCTTCAGAGGTGCTAGCAGTTTCCTTTTGTTTCCAGTCTTTATGCTAAGCTAAGTTACAGGGATGCTGAAAGAGGCTCCACCCTCTACTGGACTCTAAGGGTACTCCCCTCGATCCTATCATGCAAGCATTCTTTCACTGGCCCACGCTCCGGCCCCAGCTCCGGCCCCTGCTCCGGCCCCTGCTCCGGCCCCAGCTCCGGCCCCTGCTCCGGCCCCCGCTCCGGCTCCGGGGTACTGGGTGGGGAGCTCCGTCTTCCAGGAGTTGACTGGCGGCGGGAGGAAGCGTCCCGGCAGAGAGAGGGAAATTCTCCGGCCAAGATGCCCTCCACATTCCGGGTCTGGAAAACAGGGAGGCCGACCTCATGTCGAGGGGCGGACCCCTGCCAGGCGAGTGGGCGCTTCACCCGGAGGTGGTGAAGCGGATCTGGGCCCGGTTCGGGACAGCAGAGGTGGATCTGTTCGCCAGCCGGCGCAACACCCACTGCGCCCTGTGGTTCTCCATGGCTCTGAAAGACGACCCGCCCTTGGGGGTGGATGCATTTGCACACGAGCCATGGCCAAAGAAGCTGCTTTATGCCTTTCCACAGTTGCGTCTCATTCTCCCACTCCTGGGGAAGAGTGAGGCGAGAACGTCTGTCAATCATCCTGGTAGCGCCAGATCGCGTGGGGGGCGCCGTGGTACTCAGAGATGACACAGATGAAGGTGGGCCAGCCCTGGGCGCTCCCGGGGCGATCTCTCAGGAGTCAGGTGCAATCGGGGCGTTACCCACTCTGGGCCAACCTCTCCAGGCTTGGCTCCTGAGAGGGACAGGCTAAGGCAGGGTGGATTGTCTGATAGTGTTATTCAGTCTATCCAGGCAGCTAGAGCGGGATCCACCACAGCCTGTTACAGGCCGAAGTGGCTGGGATTCCTGCGATGGTGTGAGGAGCGGAAAATAGAGCCCCTATCTTGTGAATTGGGATCTATTTTGTCGTACTTACAGTTATTGGTGGACAGAGGGCTTGCTCATTCCACAGTGAAAGTGTATGCAGCAGCCATCTCGTCCTGCCATGAGGGATTTAGCGTCAGGTCAGCCTTTTCTCAGCCGCTAATGTCGCGGGTTTTGCGGGGGGTCAGGAGGCTGCGCTCCTGTTGTGCGCACCGCCGCCCCGCAGTGGGACCTGCCGCTGGTGCTCGAGGCTCTGGTCTCAGGGCCATTTGAGCCTCTGGAGCTCTCCTCCCTGAATGCACTGTCGTGGAAGACAGCATTGTTACTTGCCTTAACGTCAGCCAAAAGAGTGTCTGAATTAACCGCTTAATCGGTGCACCCGAGTTGTTTAATGATCCGGGGTGACCAGAGCGGGGCAACACTCAGACCGAACCCCTCCTTCGTGTCCAAGAGCCTAAGGAGTGCGTTCAGGTCGAGGGCTATTCAGTTGGGGGGCTTTAATCTTCCACCCCATAGTGGGGCGAGGGAGGCTAAATTACACCTCCTCTGCCCGGTGCGTGCGCTGGCATATTATGTGGAGCGCACGGCTGGCCTTAGACCAGTGGTTCTCAAACTTTTTCTGTCAGGCCCCCCCTTTGGAGAAAAAAAAAAAAGTCGGGCCCCCCCAACACACATAGTCAGGCTCAGTGGCGGCGCCAGAGACTTCTTTTGGGGGTGCTGTGGGGTAGCTTGACGTTTCATAGAGGGTGCTCAAACATTTAGGGTTTCCCATTAATGTACCGGTCGCTACAGTGGAATTTTCTACTGCAACACTCTCCACACACATACACAGTGTTCCCGCAACTGTTACAACGAAGGCTCGATAATCAGCTCACGGCATATAGGTGTAAGCAGGGGTAAAGTGCTATTTTTATAGGTGGTGTGTGGACACATTGAGAGCAAAATGAAGAGATCTATGGATACCTCTCAACACCCAGATGAAACGGAACTGTAAACAGATTTACTTTTTCTTTATGGATATTTTACAAATCACCCTTTTAAACTTTATTCTTTTTTTAATGTCATATATTATTTCATACCTGTTTTTCATTTATTCTCTTATTTTTGTATAACTATAATGATCATATAAATGTGTGCCTCGGAAATAATTGTTTACATTAATGGTGACCAAAACGTTTGAGACCCACTGAGATAACAATGAAAGAGTCCTTTAGTTCACTGAGCCTCTCAGTCTGACAGGAGAGGACTCTCCTCCACTTTGTTGTTGAAAAAATTCCTTATATCCGTTAGCGTAGCTCGCTAGCACCAGAAGCTAAGAACAACGATCTCCGGTACCGGTGCGCTCTCTCTCTCTCTCGCGCACACACAAAATGGCTCGTTCCACACACACAGAGACCCGGACGTAATAGTACTGTACTGTATCATATTATTTTCGAATCAATAATTTTTCAAATTATGATTTTTTTTTTATTTTTATTTTTATTTTTTTATTTTTTGTAATCTTTTTTTTTTTTATATAACCATTTTTCCTCCTGGTCTTTCGCGCCCCCCCTGGCATGCCTCTGCGCCCCCCAGGGGGGGCGCGCCCCACACTTTGAGAACCACTGCCTTAGACACACGGAACAGCTGTTTGTGTGCTTCGGGGGTGGGGTAGGGAAAAGCTCTGTCCAAGAAACGCCTGGCAGGCTGGCTCTGCGAGTGCATTGAACATGCCTACGGACAGGCGGGGAGAGTCTTCCCCACGGGGGTCCGTGCACACTCTACACAAGCTATGGCTGTGTCAACAGCCTTATTTAACGGCGTGAGTGTGGAGGACATATGCACGTCAACGCCAGGTCACGCCATCAACGCCATCTTGGTCAACGCCAGGCCCCTTCATAAAGTTTTATCTCTTGGACATGTCTGGCTCCTTTTCATCGTCTGTGCTTGCTGGGGCAACGCATGACTGGTGAGGAGGGAGGGGGGCTGTGGGTCAGTGGGAATCTGACCCCCTCCCCGGACGTAATGCGCTTACGTTTTTCCCCGGGCCCCCGGCCCCGGGCGACGTGACGCGCACATGGGCCCATAGGGGCTGGAGGACTCTTTTTCCCCTGCTTTGGGGCAGGAGGGGGGAGTCCTCCACGTTATAGCACACCTCTGCGGGGTAAGCGCGTCAGGGTGTGCTCTGTCAGCCGTAGCCTCTTTTCTCTCCACGGTTACGACCGAGGGAGAGGTGAGTGAGGCGCAGCAGCTGCTAACCAGAAAGCGGGTCAGAAACAGTGAGATGGAACAGTGTTGTTGTGGGACGACAGCGCGTGTATACATCGGAGCCTGTGAGAGATATAACGAGGGGTTACGTATGGTAACCCTAGTTTTATAAACACAGGCGGAGCCCTCTACCTCTGGGGCCCCATCTGTCCTATGCTGCTTGCTGAAGAGAAGTAAAGGATGGCAGTGAGGAGGCGAGGCCTCCTCTTACGGCCCGTCCACACGGCGGTGTGCGTTGAAGCTTCAACGCTTCTGCCCATTCACTTTGAATGGGGTGAAGTCACACTTTGCCGAACTGCATTGTGGGAGCGTTGCTTCCCTTTGCTCGCGTTGCTCGCTTCAAAAGTTGAGCAATGTTCAACTTTTGAATCTTCGACAGAAGCGTCAGCCAATCAAATCATATGCCAGTACAAGCTCTAGCCAATCAAACCGTGTGTCCGGGGCGGGAGATTCATGTGATTGGTTGTTGGTCGAGTTTCAGACACGCCCGCCGGCAAGCTTCAACGCACGCCTGCGTTATGCGGTGAGATGCGCGCGCATTCAGTTAGGCCCGCCCAGGGGCTGGCTACATCTAGCAAGTCTCAGTGAAAGAATGCTTGCATGATAGGATCAAGGGGAGTACCCTTAGAGTCCAGTAGAGGGCTCCGCCTGTGTTTATATAACAAGGGTTACCATACGTAACCCCTCGTTATATCTGACAGAGAAACATGAGGGTGGTTTCATTTTTGATATTTTCTTCAAAACTTGTTTATGTTGTGGGAACATCATTTGACAAAACAGTCTCACCTCTTAGCTTTTATAGATCATATCGCACCATTTCCTTCTGTTTTTTTTAACTATTGCTTTCAGATTTATGTCCAAACTTCCAATGTCTAATTTGTGTATTTTTGTTGAAGTTGTCATTGAAAAATCACACACTGTTACAAATGTTTTGATTATGATTGTTATATAAAAATATATGTGTGGTATGATATAAGAAGCTGCCAGTTGCCAGTGCTCATATTACCACATTTTGTGGGTTTCAGTTGCGCAGGATGATTGGAGATTTTGGCGTCCCAATTGCCATCCTAATCATGGTCCTTGTGGATTACAGTATAAACGACACATACACACAGGTAAGAACTAATATCTAATGTAAATGCTTGACCTTTGGCTGATAAAGATTCTCAACCCAGACAATAATTTGTCCCACTCATTCCAGAAACTGAGCGTTCCCAATGGTTTCTCTGTGACCAGCCCCTCGAAGCGTGGCTGGATCATCAGCCCTCTGGGGTCCAACGGGGAATTCCCCATCTGGATGATGTTCGCCTGCTGTCTGCCCGCTCTGCTCGTCTTCATCCTCATCTTCATGGAGACTCAGATCACTACGTGAGTTACAAGTCCCATCAAGGTGGATTATCAGTCAGTTATCACATCCTTGTGTCCCATAAATACATCTTAAGAGTCTGTTTGTTTTGAACAGGATTTCATATTAAGATTTGATAGTCTCATATATAATATTGTTGCAATTACCAGATTATTAGAAAACAGTGATATAAATATACTTTATTTATAGGACCTTTCCTACATAAAAAGGGAGTATGAAGTGCAGGAATCACACGTTATAATAATAATAATAATAATAATAATAATAAATGTATTTATTATTATTAGAGTTATAAGATGTATTTAATATAATTTAAGGATTCTTTATTAAACTGTTGATACCTTATTACAACTGTTACATTCAGTTGCCTCAGTAAACATTGCTCTAACTTTCCGAGTCTTCAAGTTTCTAACTAAATACATTTTATATTGAAGATATGCCTTATACATTACATTACATTACATGTCACTTGTTAGACGCTTTTATCCAAAGCAACTTACATACTCAATACTGTGGGCAATCCCCACAGGAGCAATTTTGGGTGAAGTGTCTAAGGGACACAACGACATTCTGACTGCAGTGGGGTTTGAATCTGTGTCCCCCCTGATCCGAACACCAATGTACTATCCACTGCACCACACGCCCCATAATATACACACCACAGCACCAAGTCACCCTCCTCTAATATTGAAGCATTAAATACAGTACATGTCGAGAAAATCATCAACATTGGTATTTGGTTTTATCAGTATCACTCTGGATGAGAATTTTTGAATCTATGAATTTCATATGTACAATGTATAAAAAGAAGGATGATTAGAAGGCATGTATCACAAAGAACTCACATGCTCTGACAGTAAAATCAATGGATGCAGCTGTGTGCTATGAGTACATTCTCATTTCAACCTTACTCTCCCCCCCCCCACCCCCCACACTCCCTGCAGTCTGATCGTGAGTAAGAAGGAGCGCATGCTGGTGAAGGGTTCTGGCTTCCATCTGGACCTGCTGCTGATCGTGGTGCTGGGCGGCAGCTCGGCTCTGTTCGGCCTGCCATGGATGGCTGCAGCCACTGTCCGCTCGGTGACCCACGTCAACGCCCTCACTGTCATGAGCAAGGCCGTCGCCCCCGGAGACAAGCCGCGTATCCAGGAGGTGAAGGAGCAGAGGGTCACAGGGCTCCTGGTGGCCATCATGGTTGGTGAGTGTGACATCTCATTCTCTCCAATTAAAAACAGTTTCTATTTCTATTTGGAAATGGAGGAAAAGGTCTAGCAAGTTATCTCCCGTTACTTCCTCCCACAGGTATGTCTATTGTGATCGGGGACCTGCTGCGTCAGATCCCCCTGGCGGTGCTGTTTGGGATCTTCCTCTACATGGGGGTGATGTCCCTTAATGGGATCCAGCTTACAGAGCGGATGATGCTGCTGCTCATGCCACCAAAGTATCACCCGGACCACACCTACGTCCGCAAGGTAAGAACGCGCTTTAGCTCTTATTCAGGCTTATTTAGTTCTTATTCAACATACATTTACAACAACCGACAATAATTGTGCCAGTCTGGTGAGAGGTTTATCGATGTTCTCTGTTTCCTCCAGGTGCGTACGCTGCGCATGCATCTGTTCACCTGCATCCAGGTGGTGTGTTTGGCGGCTCTGTGGGCTGTCATGTCCACCCAGGCGTCCCTGGCCTTCCCCTTCGTCCTCATCCTCACCATCCCTGTGAAGATGTTCGTGCTGCGCCGCATCTTCACCAGCAGAGAGATCGCATGTGTAAGTTGACCACAGGAGGGCAATATGATTATTAATACACCATTATCCCAACCTCACCTGTAGCACCTGCAAACTCCTGAATCATTTAGTTACAAAGATTCATTGAAAGCAGGAATAAGTTATTTATTCATTCACTTTATTTGTCTTCTTTTTTTTTATATATCAATTTCATTTGTAATTGTTGTGAAATGTGCATGTCTTGCTGCAGGGTTGGATTTCTAAATGTATCTTTTTTTGTAAGCTGTCTTTTTACATCATACTTGTATATGTTTAACATCTCATATTGGTTAACCACACAAGTTCCTCACAGTAAGAACAATGATTTAATTTAGTTTTTTGCACTGCTTTTGAATGCAATTATACAAAAGTGTACCAAAAACAACAAAAACACTGAAACATTTCACAACTTAAAAAGTAAAATGCTCTTTTTACTTTGTCATCTTTTCATGTCCTGAGGCTTTCTAGGAAATGTCTTCAGTCGACTTTAGAAAGGTTCAGAAAGTTGACTTGACTTCATTACAAATTACTCCAAGACCTTCTATATTCATGCCTCCTAGCGAGTGTAATATTTAAGAACAGTTCTGCATTAAAATGTGTTTTTTAAATATAATGTGTCTCTTCCAGCTGGACGCCGATGACGCAGAGCCCAAGTTTGACGAGCGCGACTGTCACGATGAGTACTCGGAGATGCACATGCCTGTGTAACCCGCAGCAAGGCCTGGTATCAACACTTGAAACACTCATCACTGTGCACCCTCTTCATCATCACTAAGACTTTTGAACATTCAGTATGTCTGACGACTTGCTTCAACTTTAACTATTTAAGTAGTTTTTTTTATCAGATTGTTGGGGATTTTCTGCTGGTTAACGGCACTAATTGAAAGTCAACTGAGGAGATCAAAAAATCAACGTGTGTTCACTCATACTATACTTTTATATATATATTTCAGGGGACAAGAGATTCTAAATTGAATTATCTCGAGCTCAAATGATATGCTATTACAGTAGATAGATTTACAAGACTGATTAATGTTAGCCCTGAAAGGTTTCTCTGATTCACATTGAATATGTGGAGGATATATGGGATACGTTATTTTATATTAACACGTTGAGTCATCGCTATTCAAGTTTGTCGCTTTTTTTCATGTTTTATGCTCACCAAGCGCCTTATGAAGGAAATAAAAAGGTATACTGAGAGTTATCTTTTCCTCATTCTGTCTCATTTCAGACAGTTTATCACTTTACTCGCCTCCTGAAGCTCGTAGCACTTTTAAAAAAACCAAATCTGAACAATGACTGTATTCTATGTAATCACTTGTATCTCCACATCCTCTTGAATCCTTTAAATATCTATGTTGCTTTAGTTTTCTTCCTAAACAACTATATGTGATTGATTTGAAGCCTGTCCTTCTTCCACAATCACTCAAAAAAATTACTCAAAAGCAGCAGTTTAGATGACAGTTAGGATTGAATGGACCTGCAGTGAGGTAAGAGTACCAGCAGAGGGAGGTGATGATGAAGGAAAGAAATAGTTTCTCTTTCCACTAATGACATGAAATCATGTGATAATAACATCAAACTAACACAGTGGCATAATAAATATACTCTAAATGTCTCTACGCACAGGTTAAGGGCACTAATGAATTAATAGAATTTGTTTTCACTTCGGGTGTTTTTAGGAATCACTGTAATTTATTGGTTTCTTTGTCCAAATGTCTTGTGTAAATAGTTTTGTGATCAGAACAATAAGCTGCAGTCCAGCCATCTCACAGTTTCAGCCTAACTTAACCACATGTCATAGTGTAACATTCCTTATTTTCTCACAATTGTGCTATTTCTTTTGGCATAAACGCATTTTTTCAACATTTCATTTACATTCAAATTAACTCGGTCGACCAAATTTCAACCCAAGCTGTGTAGACAATCTCAATATCCATGCATTACTGAGAGGGAAGGCTTTTAAAAATATAAATATATATGTCTTTTTTTGTTTTATGTCATGTTGTATCAGTGTGACATGGATTGGTTAAAGCTTTGACTGTGTCAAATAACTTAAATGTTCAGTCCTCTGTTGCTCTCGAGTGTGTATTTCAGACACTACTGTCCCATCTCAGTCTGACTGTCGTGAACTTCTGCCTGTTTGGTGTCACAAAGGTGCAAAATCTCAAGTGCCTGAGGGACCATGAAGTGATCAGATACAAGTGTCTGTTCCTTTTGTAAGGACGACACACATGTTACATTAGTTTGCACTTTGAGACGCTCATAAATCAAACATCTCTCCATTATTTATCCGTTGCACAATGACACATTATTGCTGCTTTTGAAGGTTTATTTGTCACATTTAACAGTTTTCTTCTTTTTAAAAAAAATTCAAACTCCCATTTGGCTGCATCATGGCCTGAAGGGTTAACACTGAAGGGTTAATGAGAACTAGGCAGTGTCGGTTTTATTTTTGCTTACTGTGTCTGTGGATTGAGTGAAGTTGGTCTGTGTATGCCAAAGTTTCTGTGGAAGTCGTGAAATGCTGATACGATGTGGTGTTCCATTTCAAAAGCAATATCAAGTCCCAGAGGCTATTGCTGAATTTCTGTTGTACATTCATGGTTAAAATATTGATGACAAATAAAACATATTTTCTATTTATCCTGGCTGTTGTTTCTGTTGTGTTTTCTATGTTCAGTATGTCAGAAAAACACATGCAAATGGTCAAAACAAAATAGAATACAGAAAATGGTGTTATTCAGTTTTTTCCGTGCTTCTTTTCCCCAAGTGCTGCACGTGTTGTGAGATGGGTGAAAGTGTTTTCTTCACTTTGTTTGGTCTATTTGCATGTGTTTTGCAGTGCATTGATCTTTCAGGGTCACCATACAAAAATAATCATGTGTGTGAATCGACACTATCAAATACAGACGGTTGAAGCTTAAAAAATAAGTAGTAGCTTTTGAGGATCTGTTTTTCCAGATCCTCGGGGAAAAGAGGGCTGGATGTTCTTTCCTGTTCAGTGAAACTGTGTAGAGTGGGTGGGCCGCTGCACTATCCCCTCAATCCCATTGTTACAGACAAAGGAAAAAGAATGGCTGTGTTTTTGCTGCTGCTCGTCAGCTCTGGAGTCTTGTTCTTTTCCTCTAACGCACAGGGGGCTTTTGAAAAGCTTCCTGAAAACTACAAGAAAGGAGTGGATCTAGCCTTGGAGAAGCTGGACTCTCATGCTGGAATCCAGCACCATTTTCTCTTCTTCAGAAGTATCACAAAGTCAGACATTGAGGTACAGTATGTACTGACATTGAGTGTTCTTTGTTCATTGTTTTCTTTCAATTTCTTCAAGTCTAATTTACAAAGAATGCACAGAATGTATTGGAGAACACGCCTTGGGGTTGTTTAAGATTGCTCGAATCTAATCCTCCTCTTTTTCTCTTCAGCCTGGTTTTGATGTGACATATGTCTACCACCACTTTTACCTTAAAGCCACAAAGTGTCCCAAAGGAACGGTTGACTCCACAGCATGTCAGTTCAGAAATGATAGAGTAAGTGTTTACTGAAATGTAATGAGTGAAATATGTTTATCGGTGACTGCCTGCTCTAACTTGTCTGTGCTGTTTTCTTTGTGTGCATTCATGCAGCCGCTGATAGACTGTGCCGTCTGTTACAAAACATTTAGAGAAGAAATTGAACAGGAGCCCAAACCATATGTTCACTGTGTCCACAAACCGGCCCTTACAGAGGTTAGTCTGCCTACCTGATGGACACTATTGCCTTTGCTGATGTCAAAGTACACTGCAAAAAGGAAATATAATTTCTTGAAGTTGAGATTTTATCTTTTTTTGTTCTGAATTGCAGGACATGAAGTCGACCAGATTAAATCACTGCAACACAATGGGCTACAGCAGTGGAGCCCCAACTCTGCTAGCATCAACTGGAACCGATTAATTATTCGAATGACTCATTTAGTTCTGATCTATTGAAACAACGTTTAGATTTTCTTTTAGCTATATTTTTTCATAAAGCGCACTATTTTAGAAGTTTTTTTATTTTTGTGTCTTTGATTTATTGATTCCTTCTTTTGAAATATGTTAGAATTACATTTTCTGTATTTTCGTGTAACAAAATTGTCAATAAAGTTTCATTTGTGAAACCTGTTTTCAGTGTGTACAGTTTTAGTGTCTTTTTTTTTCTAAGGGAGAAGGCCTTGTCTGGGCCGGCCCGTAGCGCTGGTGTTATAGATGTTCGCCTAGGGCGCCAGATCTGGGGAGGCGCTGGGAGAAAATATTTTTGACCGTTGGTGCTCATCCTAATTTTCGGCCTTAATGTAACAATATTCATAATTAGGTAAATGGAACACCCTTTTCACCCCGGTCACACTTTTCATTTGCCCTGTACGATGGGCGCTGTAAGTGATGAAAATGGGGGATGTTGCCTTATCAGGCGCCCACAGCCAAACTGTGAGGGAGAGAGGGAGGGCGCACCGGTACGGGCGCTGTTGTTATTAGAATCGGGTGCTAGCTGCTCTAACGGATATAAGAATATGTTTCTACAATAATGTGGAGGGAGAGTCCTCTCATGTCAGACTGAGAGGCTCAGTGAGGTAAAGGACTCTCTCAGTGTTTAGATAGTTCACTTTAGTCATCTCAGTGGGTCTCAAACGGTTTGATCACAATTTATGTAAACACATATTTCCAAGGCACACCTTTATGATTATTGGGATAAATAGGTTTGAAATCATTTTAACGAGTGCTTCTCAAAGTGTGGTCCGCGCACCACTGGTGGTCCGTGAGCGCCCCCTAGTGGTCCGTGAGTATATTGGTAACATTTCACATTTAAAATAAATACATTTCAGTTTTCCGCACTCTCGCGGGAATATCTCCGCAATGGAGCGAGGTTAAGTTTCACTTTCGATTGCATGATATAGCCCAGCGCAACACCTTCATCACACTTGTTGCCACTTGTTTGTACCATTTGCAGGCGATGTGTAATCTGTTCTAGAAAAATGATGTGGTTTTTTATATTTGTGGAGTTAGGTGGTCCGCGAGTGTTTTTTTTATTGGTGAAGTGGTCCTTGGTATGAAAAAGTTTGAGAAACACTGAAGGACAGTAACCAAAAATATCGTTTAAAACTGGAGAGATAAAAAAATATGCATAAATAAATGTTAATAGGTCAAATAAGATATGAAAGAACAACAAAAATAGTTACATGTATTTGTTATTGGCTATGGTATTGTTTATGTTCACATACTTATTTGGTTATTAAAATGTAAACCGATCTTTTTCATATGGGTGTTCAGAGTTGTCTCTAGTAATTGTGTGCTCGAAGTGCACCAGATTGAAGCATTTTACTTTAAAATGTTCAGAAAATCTTCCCGGGGGGGCATACCCCCGGACCCCCCTAGAGGATGTGATGTCCATCCCCCATTCTATTGTGTATTCCTTGGATACTCTATTGATCTTTATCTTTTCTATTGTACGATTCTCTGGCTGGGGCGCCAGCTAAAATCTCGCCTAGGGCAGCAAATTGTCTAGAGCCGGCCCTGGACCTTGTTTACAAATCAGTAAAGAGAAAAGTATCAACAACCAAACTGAAAATGTATCCATACACCCTAATGACACATCCAGATAGACTGAAAACTACTGGGCCCAGGATCGAGCCTTGTTGTACGCCACAGTTGTTGTTGCATTTTTCATGGTATTTACCTAGTCCAACAAAACAGATCTCTACTGTCCTGTGAGGTAAGATGTAAAACACTTGTGCCAGAGAGACCCACACTTTATATACTGTAGTCTGTGGACAGTGTCAGAAGAGTGTGGTTTACTAAATCAAATGCTGAATCTAATCTAAAAGAAATAATTTGAATGAAAAACAACAACAAATAAGTGGGGCCCCTTGTTACATTCCAGTGTCACATTGAGTTGTTTTTCCCATCTGTGATCTCTTTTGGTTTATAATGTTGCACACACTGTTGAATTATATAATATATTACAACAAATTAAGTCATTTTCATTAAAATTGTGAGACATGGCATAGTGCTCTTCTAGATGTATTTGTTCTGTTTTTCCACCATGCTAAAATACTCGTGCTTTTCATTGTCAATGTTTATCTTTTGTTGTGGCTTATGTTTGCATGATTTTCACTACTACTACCACTTCTACCTTAAAGCCAGAAACTGTTCAAAAGGAACACCAGAGCATGTTGGTACAGAAATAATCTAGTTTTGATTATTTACTAAACTCAGTAATGTGGATTCCAAAGGAGAGGGCCTGCTCTGACTCATCTGGGCTTTTTGCCACAGCTGTAACAAAACATTCAAAGAAAAATTGAACTGGAGCCAAAAAAGCATTTTCACCGTGTCCACAAACAAGCCTTAACAGAGATAAGTCTGCTTACTTGAAGAGCACTTTTAGATAACCTTTGTAAATGTCAAACCACACTGCACAAATCCAACATAAGTACTTGAAATAGTTGCTGACTTTTTTGACTCATTTCCACTTTATGTTTTATATGGCAGGTAAACATGATGGGTAACAGAATTGGAGCCCCAACTCAGGCATCAACTGTAAAAAGTAAGCAATTTGATGAACAGAACTGTCAATAGTTACATTTCTCATCAATCAAAAGTTATTTTCAGTTTGTAAACTATTATGAATGGGCTACTTATTTAACTAAGGTCAGTATTGCATGGGATATAGTTGTTCTATACTTTTCTTATTGTTAACAAATTCAATATACAAAGACCGAAAACAGGAGGAAAAAAATGAAGTTAAGAACAAATTATTTAATGACCCAATAGTGGTGATGATTAATCACTGCTTAGTTCATTTAAAAAGAAAGAAACCATCACAGTTATAGTAAGTGACCTACTTTCCTGTAAATGCAACAAAAGACTTGCTGAAGCAGAGCCTAAAGAGTTCACTGGTCACTGCTGACCTTTGTATTCCTCCAGGGGCCTAAGCATTTTCATGGAAATGTGGCTTCGTTTTGTGAAATTAGATAACTAATCCAAGTCTCTATTGTAATACGTTTCCAGGATATGAGTGTCATCCCAATTCTGGTAAACAGTTTCTTCTCAAGAAACTCCCCAGTGAGTGTGTTTTGTTGAAACAAGCATAAATCTTTCTCCCCTGGGGTGTTACGGGAATTTGGAGATAAAACGTAAACAGTCTGTGCAGCAGGCATCTTGATGGGCCGAGTACTGGGTTCATCTTGATACTCATACTGCCATAATAGGACTTGTTTTGCCTGGGTGTATTGATCCCGCAGAGAGAGGAGGGTGTTCACCCTTTGAGCCGAGCTGCTCTCCTCACACACTCGGAGGAAAATGGCTGCTGGGTTACTGTTGCTGTTTTGTGCCGGAGCTTTGGTGTACTCTGCCAAGGCCCAGGAAACTTATAATGTGCTGCCTGAGGACTACAAGCAGGGAGTGGATCTAGCCTTAGAGCAACTCAACACCCATGCTGGGGTGCACCACCATTTTCGCTTCTTGAGAAGTCTGGAGAAGTCAGATATCCAGGTAAACCTGACTTCTTAGTTTATGATATAGATATAAAATTATTGGGAAGTGATTGGATAGGAGATTTTGGGGAAATATTCTCCCAAAAGTATCTTATTAAAGCCTCACCGATACACATGTATTTGTAGTTCTATAAAAAAGTAAGAAAATGCCTGAAATTCAGTTTTAAATTCAGTTTCCTTTACTTCTCAGATCAGATTTAAGACTTTGGCACTCCTTCTGCCTTCAGGGAATTCTGGTTCATTCTTGTTTTCACTTCTGTTCAAGTAATGTGGGCTGGGAATCTTCAAATGTCAGGGGTTGGGTTTCGACAAAAGATAAGGTGTAGATCTAATGGAATGTTATTCTGAGAGTTATCAACAGGAAATGGTATTATGATTTTGTTATTGAATGGTTTCGGTTGTTACTTTGGTTACTTTTCTGCCTAGACTGCCTGCTGAAATATGAGACGGCTTGTAAACATGTTTTAACTCCTCAGCTCACAAGATTATCAGTTAAGCAATAAGATGGTTTAAACCAGGGGTGGGGAACCTTTGTCCTCTCAAGGGCCATTTCAATGTTTTCAACATCCTCCGAGGGCCGTACAAATTACTGACCTCTGCTTAAAAATACTAAAATCACAGCCCACTCATTTCACCTTTCTTTCATGCTGTGCAAAGAAAAAGCAACCTCTTAATCCAGATATCTTACCATGCATGCACGTGCACGGTTGTGGCATGACCACCAAAACAGAAAGATATGGACACAAGATGTGTGCAAATGTATTTAGTTTCCTATCCATGTGGACATGATTTAAGTGGGGGGGACCTAACCTCCTCTTGGGGGGTCCGGGGGCATGCTCCCCCGGGAAGATTTGTTTTTAAATGTTGACGTTAAAAGCATCAATCTGGTGCACTTTGAGAGCAACATTAGTCTATGGATACATCTCTCAACACCCATATGAAACAGAACTGTAAGCAGATTTTCTTTTTCTTTATGGATATTTTACAAATCACTCCCCTTTCAAACTGTATTCTTGTTTATTAATAACAACTTTTTTTACTGTCATATAGTATTTTATACCTGTTTACTTTATTCTCTTATTTTTTTATAACTATAATGATCATATAAAGATGTGCCTTTACCTCACTGGTTGTAGAAAAAGCTTCTTATATTCGTTAGCATAGCTAGCTAACCAGATGCTAATAACAACAAAGTTATTGACTGTATGATCAGTATGACAGATCGCCACTGGCCTTACAACTAAGACACAGCCACGCAAAAACTGCAGCATGTGTACGGCTCCTTATGGGTACTGCAATTTTTGGAAGTGCCGGAGCGGAGCTGCGTTCTGGTGCTCACCGAACTACACCCCTGTCAGACGAGACATATACCACGTGATGACACGTTAGGCTTGTGTTGTGTTCAAGGACCCTGACCTTGGCCAGGAAAAACAGGAACTCACTTGTTTAATTATTTTGCGGTCTAGATTTCTTTAATTTTTTTCTTTTTTGCGTGTGTTTATAAATTACCTCGAGGGCCACACCAAATGGTCTCGTGGGCCGTATACGGCCCGGGGGCCGGAGGTTCCCCACCCCTGGTTTAAACTGATATCTAAACCCAATCCTAGCCCATTTCAAAGTGGGCTAACTCCAACATTAGCCTGGGACCTGGAGTAGGGTTAGCTTAATGCTGGGTTAACAAGGTGTGTGTCAAAAGGGCTTAAGTTATCACAGTCACTCTTATCACTCCTATAGCCCAGGTCTATGAACACACCATAAGTAGACTGTTGGCTCTAAATGGCAAAGCAGAAATTGAAGGTGTCTTTCACCTGCATTTTCGACAAGCTTGTGAAGCTTTGATAGTGGAATTAAGTGAAATTGGTTACAAAATAGTTTTTACTTTACCTTTAAATGATGAAGTACTGAAATTAAACCAACAATAGGTGTAGTTATCGGATAGCTAGTTCAAGAGGTTTTCACATCCATTGGAAAATTGATGGAAAGGGCGAGTATAGGCCTACTTCAGTAGCTACTTTAAAAAAGGGCAAAATAACTATACATTAAGTTATTTACTTTATCACAGCCTGTTAGAAGAGTGGTCCTATTACATTTACAATTGCGGCATGGATTGCTATGAAATCTGGAATGAACATTCATGGCCCTCAGAGGATGAATCCTGAGACCTTAGGTGAAGTCCTCCAATGGCCATGGTAATATAATAAATGACCCTGTGCTCTCTTGCAGTCTGGATTTGGAGTGAGATACCTCTACCACCACTTTTACCTGAAACCCACCAAGTGTGCCAAAGGGACAATTGAGTCGATCTCCCAGATTTGTGCCTTCCGAAATGACAGAGTGAGTGTAATTCAATGGGAGAAACCTTAATTGCGTATGTTTGTACAGCATCCTGATGCTTTTTCTTTGAATGACTTCACAGCCCTTGATGGACTGCGCAGTTTGCTACAAAACAGCTGCCGACCAGATAGAGACGAGCCCAAAGCCGTATGTTCACTGCATCCAGAAACCGAGACTCACAGAGGTATGACTCATGTCCTGTGTTGCATTGTGGGTAATGTAGGCCCCATGTATGAACAAGGGAGATTTATTTTACTGTACTCATTGATATCTTGCAAGTTTAATTAAATAATTGATACTGTTCACAATGAAACCAGGTGATGATAGGTGTTGCTTTCTAAAGATCATACCTGAAGTGACTATTCTTTTGTTTTAGGAAATGAGGACAACTAGGACAGAGCACTGCAAAAAAATGAGTTACAACAGCGGAGCCCCTACGCTGTTGGCATCTACTGGCTAAAAAAAGAAGATGTAAAAACAACAATCTTCTTAAGTTCAAGAAATCTGTATTTCACCTGTTGCATGCTTATTTTACATGGTGAACTAACTTTGAAATGCCTATTGTTATTCTCAATCCTGGAGATTTCTGTTACAGGCTTCAGGTATAATACACACAGAGACAATTCTCTGCTCTTAACAATCCTTCTTTGCTTGTAGAATCACTGTATGTATGTAAGTATAACATTGTGTAAGAAAAATTATTTCCAACTATTGAGTGAACAATGACTTCCCTTCAACAGTCTGTTAGCACCTGAACTAGCAGCAGCTAAAGACATTTCCCTTAGATCTTCACACATCATCTGGGATGCCATCCGATTAAATGTTCACTCAAAACTTTGACAAAAAATTGATAATTTAAAACATCCTTTTATACTCTGTTTAACAATTTCACATACAGTACCAGTCAAAAGTTTGGACACACCTTCAAATTCGAAGTTTTTTATTTATTTAATTTTTTGTAGATTTATACTGAAGACATCAAAACTATAAAAGAACACATATAGAATTACCTAGTAAACAAAAAGTATTAAAAAATCCAGAATATGATTTACATCTTGCTGGCTACCGCAGAATGCTGTGGTAGCCATGCTGGTTAAGTGTGCATTGAATTTTGAATAAATCACCAACAGTGTCACCATCACACTTCCTCCTCCATGTTTCACGGTGGAATCACACATGCAGAAACCATCCGCTCACCTTCTCTGCGTCTCACAAAGACACGGCGGAACCAAAAATCGCTAATTTGGAATCATCAGACCAAAGTACAGATTTCCACTGCCTAATGTGCAATCCTTGTGTTTTTTGGCCCAAACAATTCTCTTCTTCTTGTTGTTCATCCTCAGTGGTAGCTTCTTTGCAGCGATTGGACCATGAAGGCCGATTCACGCAGTCTCCTCTGAACAGTGGATACTGAGATTTGTCTGCTACTTGAGCTCTGTGATAATTTATGTGGGCTCTAATCTGAGGTGCTTTCATTTGCGGTTTCTGAGGCTGGTAACTCTTATGTATTTATCCTCTGCAGCGCAGCTAACCCTTGCTCTTCCTTTCCCGTGGGGGGGGGGGGAGAGCCAGTTTCACCAAAGCGTTCGATGGTTTTTGCGACTGCACTTGAGGATAAATTCAAAGTTCTTGACATTTTCCGGATCGACTGGCCTTCATTTCTTAAAGCGATGATGGACGGTCGTTTCTCTTTAATGAGTTGAGTCGTTCATGCCATAATATGGATTACAACAGTATTCAAATAGGGCTTTCCACTGTGCACTAACCCTACCTCTGCACAACGCGACTGATGGTCTCAAACACATTAAGAAGGCAAGTAATTCCACAAATTGACTCTTGACAAGGCACACGTGTTAATTGAAAACCATTCCAGGTGACGACCTCATGAAGCTGACAGAGAAGCCAAGAGTGTGCAAAGCTGTCATTAGGGCAAAACGGGGCTGGATTTTTTAACACTTTTTTGTTAACTATAATTCCAAATGTGTTCTTTCAAAGTGTTGATGTCTTCAGTATTAATCTACAAAGTATAAAATATTTAAATTAAAACAAAATTCAAATTAAAACTGTATAATCTAACATTCCCATATCAATGCAACAACATATGCTTATATTAAACAAAAATGCATGCTAAACACTCGTTTTCTTGAATGAAAGAATAAAAGTACAAAATACTCTTTTTCCTTTTCTAAGAATTTCCCTTTGTTGTTAAAACTAGATCATGGTAAAGGTTGGAACTATCAGCACATTAAAAGGCTTCTGTACAAAATGGCCTGTGTTTTCAAACATGTTGTATTGGCTCCTTTATTTTAAATATGACTTAAAATATATTCAACAGAGATGTTCATTAAATAAAATAGTATGCAAAACTATACCATGTCTTAATTAATAGAGACTAAATTATTTGCATACATTTCTAATACCTGGGTGTTAAATGTATTTTAATTAGAGTTCTTCTTTGTTTTATGCTTGTTCTCAACTTTTAATCAACTTAATTTATATTTATAGCACGGTTTATTCTCTGCTCTTCTGTCTGCTCAGCACTGACCTGCCTGTACTTGTGTATTTTGTATTCCTGCTACTTTACAACATTTAAATAGCGTGGAAAGTGCAAGTCAATACTAAACAAATAATAATAATTACGAAATAGCTCATGGTTACAGAATCCCACATTCGGCTCCCACCTGGTTGTTATCAAATGGAAATTGTAATAAAAAAGCACTGCCAAATTTCTTGTCCCATCTTTCTGCAGCCTGTTATTAGGAGAGCTTAGTTAATGTCAAGCTCATGCTGCATGCTTACACTATCACAGATAATGAAACATCATTGGGCATTTTTTAATGAAACTTTTTTTTTTTAAATTGGCAGTATCACTCAGCTTTTTATGGAATAAACAAAGGGCATAGCATTCCATCTCTGCTCCACCTTTTCTTCCCACCCTCGCTAGGTGTATAAAATCAGGGTGATTTCACCGTCACGCACTTCACTCCTTTTCCTCTGCTTGAAATCGGACTGAAGAGAAAACAACACAATCTGTGAGTAATGTATTCTATATTTTTATTTTGATAGATTGGTTCATATATATATATATATTACTGTGCAAGAATAGTTTGATGCAAAAAGGAGTTTTTAAACTTTACTGGTAATATGTTATAAAACTGCATTTTCAGTGTTTTAAATGGATCGAACACTGACTTTTTGTTGCAGAATCATGAGCAGAAACTTCCTGTCCAAAAATGATGAGCTCCGCAAGGGAGACCATCTGGTGTCCAACAACGGACAGTTTAAGGCTATCTTCCAGGTGAGTGACTCAGGATATTTGTGCACTTGAGACTCTTATCAGGGTGCATGCTACAAATGCAATGGTCTTTGAGCAAACGGTTAACAAGAGTCTCTGTTTCTGCTGCAGGATGATGGTGACTTTGTGGTCTATGGCTGGCAGCCTGTGTGGGCTTCAGACACTGCAGGGTCATCCCCTTTCCGCCTGTGCATGCAGGGGGACTGCAACCTGGCCATGTACGACAAGGGGGGCAAAGCCATGTGGCACACAAACACCTCCAAGTCTGACTGCAACATGTGCCGCCTTCAGCTGACCAATGAGGGCAAACTGGTGGTGAACAAGGAACAAGATGAAGTCTGGAACTCTGCTAAATCCATAGGCATGAAGTGATCCATTGTGTTTGAAAATCATGTTTTGAAGTCAATTTGATTCACCATTTAACATGCTTGTTATGTAATCAAATAAACAAACGTTCACAATGCATATATGAGTTTCTGTTCTGTTTGAGTGACCTATGTTCTGGCTAAATGGTATATTGACCAAAGGGACTATCATTGATGTATGGGAAAGAGGGGCACATACAGTATGTTCTATATACTCAGAGATCAAAACGTTAACCACTTTACTGATAATAGGAGCTTTATCTGTGATAATGATTCACTTTAGAGAGGAGATGAACATCCGTGAGCTTGAAGCTGTCATTCATAAGCAATGTCAGGAAAGATATACCTTGTGTTTAAAGCATTAACGTCTTTCTCTTAGTTTAGAAAATATCATAAAATCTATCTGTTTAATTACTATTTCCAAATTAACATATCATGATAACACTAGGTTTAAAAGTACGTATAAGAGGGGTAAAAGGACACCAAGAGTAGGTTACACAGAGCTCAAAGGATACTCAAATAAGGTAATGACAGAAGTGAGATAACCTCTAAAAGGCAAGTGCTTGACTTTGATTGACTGATTGATTGATTGATACATTTTATTTCGAACAAGTAAAATAACTAATTACAAAAAGACTAAAATGTTTGCAGTGCATAGTCATGTAAGAGAAATCAAAACAAAATGACATTTACATCAACAACAACAACAACAGCATTAGCAACATAAACAGTCCCACATCTAGTGTTCGAAAAGGAGTGAGAAGAAGTATAATTTATTTAATCCCACCCCCTTGTCCCCAAATTATTTATTTATAATCTACTCTTTTTCCTTTTCTAAGAATTTCCCTTTGTTGTTAAAACTAGATCATGGTAAAGGTTGGAACTATCAGCACATTAAAAGGCTTCTGTACCAAATGGCCTGTGTTTTCAAACATGTTGTATTGGCTCCATTTCAAATGTGACTTAAAATATATTCAACAGAGATGTTCATTAAATAAAATAGTATGCAAAACTATACCATGTGTCACACTCCCAGGTTTATGTCACGGTTTTAGTGTTGTCTGTCTGGTTATGGGTTTTGTAAGTCTGTTCATTCGGTGTTTTGTCTTCCTCCTTGTGTTTTGTCTGGTCCTCCTCCCTGTCGTTAGTTTCCCTGGTGTGTCTGATTGTCTCATTGTGTTCACCTGTTGCCCTTGTGTTTCTCCCTCCCCTGCCCAGCTGTGTCTTGTCCTGTGATTACCCTTCTGTGTATTTAGTCAAGTCTTCCCCTGTGTTCCATGTCGGTTCATTGTTTCCCCTCCATGTTATTCCACGGTCTGTGTTCTATTTCGTATATGGCTTCGCCCTCTAAGGCTATCGCTATTGGGTAATCCCCCTGCGCCCCCGCGCAGCACTGAAACACTTGTAGTCCACGCCCACCCGCAAGGTGGGCCCCACCCTCGGGCTTCCTTCCGGTATAAATAGGAACGGAGGCCCGACAATCTGCTCCCTCTTTTCTTCAGCAAACCAGCACAGTTACTGAAGCACAGCAATTGAGAATCATCATGAGCCACAACTGCGTCCGTGATTGTCCCTCATGTGGCTCTGGGTTCATAATGAGTTATGACCAGCAGAGATAAAAGCAGTATGCGAATCCTGCCTGGGGTCAGAGCACGCGTACATGGCTCTAAACCAGCAGGTAGCATGCACACACTGCGTCCGTCTCCCCTCGGGCGACAGGAAGCGGAGAGCGGACGCTCTTGCTGCTGCGGCCGAGGAGGACGATTGGCCCGTCCAGGTTTACGAGCCGCGGACGGGGCCTCGTGTCCCTGGGGCCGAGTGCCGGGCAGGAGTCCGAAGAAAAGCAACTCCTGCCCCGCCTCCCTCCACGGTTCACCGTTCGGTTCTCCCCTCCCTCCTCTCCTCCGGACGGGGGAGACAGAGTCGGAGCAGGGTGCCAGCTTGGCGGCCGAACATGCTTTCCCCCTCTCCGTCACCACAGCGCGGCGGCGAATAACATCGCGCTGCTCTCCAACTCGGTGGTGACACTGGTAGAGCGGTCCACCACCGAGGCAGAGGAAATCAGCAAGGCGGCCAGCACGGCGCTCATTCTGTGCGCGTCCGTCGCTGTCTCCCAGGCGAGGATTTCCGCGTGGGTGACACAGATCCAGTGCCACCTCTGGCGGAAGCAGGCGTCTGTTATGGAGACGGCCAGAAAAGTGCTACTGGACGCTCCAATCAGCCCGGACGGGCTGTTCGGACCCCAGTTCCACGCCATGGTGGAGTCCATGAAGACGGCCGCGGAACAGGCGGACGGCATTTGCCAGCATGTACAGCTGGCTTCAGCCTGCTGAGCGCCCACAGCGGCACCAACGCTCGCAGCAGCTGCGGCGTCCACGCCGGCCACAGGAGGCCGCAAGAGGAGAGACGCCCACAGCAACCGCCTCGGCATCAGACTCGCCCTTCGGCGGCTGCAGGGGCTCCGTCCCACGTCTCCGCTCCCCCACCACCCCAGAGACAGGGTCTCCCGGCGGCGAGTCAAAGGGGAGTGAGGCTCCCCCGCTCCTGGTCTGCTCCGCGAGAGCCTCCGAGAAAGCAGAGCCGGTAATTAAGCCAGCTGCCACTAATCAGTTGATTAAGACAGCAGGGCTCCCTGCAGAAGCCTGCTGGTTTTAACCTATCGGTTAATAACCTGCAGAGCTCGCCGCATTCCTCTGTCCGAGATACGCCTACACACGGTCATAATAACCCATGAGCGCCGTTATAACGCCTCATGTGGACAGCACTGCGCAGTGCGCCCACCTCCACTCATCCCCTGAGCGTGTACAAGCCTCATGATGACAGCCGGAGTGAAACGCAGCGTGTGGAGCCCTTTGGCCTCACGGGCAGCGGCGGCGAGGGCAATGGCGTGGCTCGTCACCATGACGACCGAGCTGCAGGAACTCCTGTTGAAAGAGGCTATTTCCAGGGTTCCTCAAGGTTAAAATCAGGTGCTGGAATGTGTTCACCAGGACAACTGGTTCACTTCCACCTGAAGGAATGCATACTTCCACGTACCCATCATCCCGAAACACAGGAAATAGCGTTTGGATATTTCCTGGCTCCTCGCATGTTTTGTGTATAGAAGGCTGGAGCCACTACACAGAGGAGGGATGAGTGTGTTTTCCTCTGGACGACCTGCTATTTGCTGGCTCGCTCCAGGGAGGAAGTCGCTTTACAGACGTTACATTCGTATCGCATCTGTCAAAGCCTGGGTTTCAGAATGAATTGGAAGAAAAGCTGTCCTCTTCCCTCTCAGACAAACGTTTATCTGGAGTGGAATTAAACTCGGCCAGCAGAGCGCGGCTCTCGCGGCAGCGAGTGGAGGAACTGACAGCTCTCCTCCGGCATGTCACAACCCACAGAGCCCTTTCCGTGACGCAGCTGCTCGGCGTTGGCGTCAGCTGGTCACGTGATGATCCCCTTGGGTCTCTTCCAACAGGGGGACACTCCAGAGGTGGTTCATTCGCTGCAGAAGCCTGCTGTTTTTAACCTATTGTTTTATAAACTGCAGAGCTCGCGGCATTCCTCTGTCCCAGATACACACGGTCATAATAAATCCACGAGCACCGTTATAACGCCTCGTGTGGACAGCATACACACACCTCTCATCCTCTGGGCGTGTATGCGCCTCATGATGAGAGACGGAGTGAAATGCAGCGTGTGGAAACTCCCTCGCAGCCCTTTTGCCTCACGGGCAGCGGCGGCGATGGCGTGGCTCGTCACCATGACGACCATTACGGCACATGACAGAGAAGCCTCTCCCCCCAGCAGTTCCATTGATTGATTGATTGATTGATTGATTGAAAAGTTTATTAACAGCTTGTATATTGGGTACAGTACAGTCCAGCTCAAAACATACAATTGTTAAGGGGATGCAGACCAGAGAAAGACTTTCGTCTTGTTTACATCAGGGTCCCCCATTTCCAATTCATCATATCATTTAAGACATATAAGACATATTTGACATACAGATGGCTTATTTACAATTTACATACAGGTGTTTTTTTTTTACATACAGATTGCTTATTTACAATTTTCATTTTAGATTTCGTTCTAATACATCCTAACCGGACATTTAAGACATACCAAGTCTACAGATATACAGTTAGTAACAGAGTCTAAAATGCGAGTATATACATAGATGGGGGGGGAAGCTGTCCATTGTACGACAGGTTGAGATTTGTACCATTACCGGGGCCAGTTTTGCAATGCTCTCCCCCGAAGGTGCTCTTTAAGAGAGGGTTTGAAGGTAAGTATAGTTTTACTTTCCTTTACAGTTGTGGGAAGAGCGTTCCACCTTGATGTGGCATAATTGCGAAACGTGTATTCTCCCTTTTTTGTGCCAAATCTGGGTTTCACATGATTTGTGGAGCTCCCTCTGGTGTTATGATCAGTGCTGGAATTGGGCCGGTACTCACCGGTACGCAGTACCGGCACTTCTGGTTCTGACCCATGGAGTACCGGCACTTCTTGCTCAGTACCGGCATGCTGGCGGTACTCCGGTACTCATGCACCGTGCCAGTACTCAACACTCTCCCGCCGTTCTTATTATACATCCATATATATATATATACAGCCGCCCGGTACTCAGTAGATGCGTCATGAGGTGCCGAACGGACATTCTCATCGCTCTAACCGCTGGAGTTTCACAGCGGCTGTCAGCTGTTTACTCCTGTCATTCAAACAGAACGTGCTGGAGAGGGGGCGGGGCTTATCTTCTCCATGTAAATACTGTGGTGGAAACGACTATGTCAAAATTAACCTATTTGACCGTGATTTAATAGTAATACACGTTTCAAAATAATAATAATAATAATGCCGAAGTAACAACATACTGAAAACTGTTAGTAAAACCATGTTTTAATGCTTTACAATTTACATACCTAGATGCACGTGTGTTGTGTTTATGCAGTGCAACTCCCACCCAGTGGGTGGCTATGTAGAGTGATAGAACAGAGCAGGCACGCCCCCGAGAGAAGGAAAGCAAGTCACGTCACAAATTAGCATTTCTAAAATGTTAGCTTGGATTAATAAAAGTGCAAAAAGACAGCGGTTGTCGCCGGAAGAAACTTCAAATAC